TTCTCCAGTTTTCCTGAAAGAATCCCTAACAGCCTTGGCTCTGATACCATCTTCTCCTGCAGTAGTGGTATACCTGCACCAGACTTGGCACAGCCTTTGATCCAGTGGCAACAACAACCCAACAACTTGATATAAACCTTGATTACCAGTGCTCAGTGCATTGCCCTTGAATACACCTTCTACATCAATCATCTCGCCACCTCACAAGCAACCTCCATTGCTTGCGTTGAAGCAACGACACCACAGTCAACACTCCAGGATACACAACTCTCCCACCAACCCACCTACCACCCACCATGACTCCCCCATGTCTACCCCCTACTTCACTCAAACCCAAGGTCCTCACAGACATTCCCCCACTCCCCCCACTTCACCCAACCAACCACATCCACATCCTCCGCAGACTCCACAACACCACTCCCAGATGATCAGCCAAAGCTCCTAGAGCATGCAGCCATCTTGAGGATCACACCCTTCCGAATCACACCTACCCTATCAGGGAGGATCCTTTGTTCTCACCCTTGAACACAGGCACGCCTCTATCCTACAACACACCATCAACCATGCTACATCCCAACTCCTACAACAACACTCAAACCCAACAGGATCTCCCTCCTGCCCCTGGCACCAGCCCATTCCAGTGCCCCCTTATCCTCCTTCTATTGACTCAACAACCCCTCGAACAGCCCACAACACTCCAGCAGCCACTGTGCCTCCTCTTGGGAACCACACACTGCCAGTGTGTCATTTGACCCCATCTTCTGCCTGCTTGTTGGCCTCTATCTAACAATTTTTGGCATTGGATGGGTTACACCCTGCTCTGGTCCAGCCTGAGGAGTACCACCTCCTACGGGCTCTGCTGGCACTTGCCTTGCATGCCAAGGCCCTTGCCACAGCTTGGACCTGATCACCCAGACACACTTACTGGCGAGCACTCTTTGGTCTGGCAATCTAACTGGTCCTCACGGTCCCTATGGTGTAATGGTTTCAATACCGAAAAAATCCTGTGTAAGCCCCTGTAAACCCAGGTTTTGCGCTGAGGTTCTCTATCAATGTGCTCACCCCCTACCCAGGGCACTGTCTACTTGGTGCTGGCTCCACGTTGGGCCAGTGGATGAGGTCATGTTGATTGGGCAAATAAGTAGATGACGACTCAGCTAGGTGGGGGCTTCCCCACCCATTGCCCGCGTCACAAAAGCCACTCCGTGGCCATAGTTTGTTAAACTAACGAGTAATTTACAACCTACACTAGCTTTTAGCGTAGTGCACTGCCCTTTCGTCCTCGAGATTTGGAAGAGGTGACAGTAACGAACCCAGAAGAGTCTGGAGTGCCGTCAGAGACCGGTGTTGTTGTAGGGATCATGGCAGAGGATGTCGTTATTGTTGCAGGTGCGAGCGCAGCAGGAGTCTGCCTGAGCACTCGGCGTTGTCGGACAGCCTTGCGGATTCCATGGGTGCCTTTGATGTGGCGCATGGAGGAGTCTTCCGGGAAGTCAGCCTCGCTTGGTGTCGCGAAACTGAGGTCAGTGTCGATATCGACTCCAATATCAGAGGAAGGATCGAGTTGGAGTTGGGAAATATCGAGCGCTAGTGAATCTGGATCATCAGCGGGTATCTCTGCAATAGGTGCCTCCTCGACGGGTGCTTCTTCCGCTGTAAGATTGGCCAAGAGCTGTTGTTCAAGCTTGGTGGCAGCTTGACGCTGACGAAGCAAGAGTGTATCGCCAGGTTGCTGAATCTGATGGTATGGTGGAGCCATGAGTGTGCCAATCACAGGAGGTGCCGTAGGATCCAGCTGTGCTTCCATAGCTGAGGAGATGCGTCGACGTGTCCAGAGGTCGAAGGGTTCATTGCATAGAACTTGCGGGTCGAAGGTGTGGTACCCTGTGTGATCCTCTTGGATTTGCTGTTGGATACTCGTATCAATAGCCTCGTATTGGGAGGTACCGTAAGCAAACTGTGAGAAAGCCTGATCACCGGATGGAAAGATTGTTTCTCCATCGTCGAGTGCGGGCATTGAAGGATCCGCTTCGTTGGGTACGTCGAGGAGGTCCACCGGTGTCGTCGTATTTTCACGAGAGGTTTGTGTTTGGCTGTCCTCGGATTCATCAGAGAAATATACGAAGGGTTGCCAATCAGGGTCAATCTCTGGCTCGCTGAACAACATCTCGTGGGAGTAGGACTCGTAGGATGAGCGATCAACCTCGTGGACTCGTACCTCGCGTGTAGCCGTATTGGTCGGCTGTGATAGGACGGACGCGATATCACCAGCGAAGGACGTTGGCGTTGAATGCGTCTTGTTGCACGCGAGCTGCAACAGGTCAGTGTCCATCTTGTTGGACTTGGTTTGGTGCGAGGACACTTCTAGGTTGCCTGCTCGTGGCGTGGTGTTGCCCACGTCGAGGAGGTCGTGGGAGTTGACTGAGCGGGTTGGGCGTGATTGCCCAGAGTTGTGGTGACTACGTCGAACAGCTAAGTCAGCCGTGTAGTCAAGGATGCTCTTCTTGCCCTGCTCGGAGATATTATCCCATGCCTCTTGATCCGACTTGGACAACGACCGCCATGTGGTTGCGTTCATCATGACCTTGCGTGGACCACGAGTGTCTGTCTGATGGGCTTCCAATAGGACCTCCACCGGTGTATCCATATCGTGGACGAACACCTCATAGGTGTCGTCACAGGTTTCCGCTGTACCATCATCGAAGAGAATTTCGTGTTGGTAGGTGCGACGACGAGCGTTGCTTCGAGAGCGTGTGGACGTCGCATGATTTGCATTGTCATGCAGTTGTGCTTGCTCGAGAAGGGCTGCTCGGTATTGTTCGAGCGTATACTGGAAGGTGTCGCCTGCAGCTTTCTTGGTTTGCAGTGCGAGACGTCGTACAGGGGCGAGATTTGGTGCCTTGGAGATTGAGCGTTCCTAGAAACGTGCCCCCTATTGGTCAGTGTACGGCTCGTCGCTGATCTCATTGTACTGCCGAAATTGTTCGAGGAAGTTGGAGATGAAACCAGATTGGGACCCTCTCCATACACCTTCTGCGATATGGGCGGAGGTGAGATAACACGAAATCTTATCCGAGCGCAGGGTTGCGACCATGGACTTGGAGTAATGTTCGTCAATTGCCTTCCAGATCGCACGAGTGTCCTTGTCGGTTTCGTTGGCAAGGACGACAGATCGTGCCTGTGCTTCTTGGAAGATGTCTTCGAAGGTCTTGTACATCCATTCTCGTTGTTTCTCGTCTAGTTTGACGTTGGTGACCGTGAAGCCAGAATCAATAAGGTGGGAGAGACCTTGAGATTTGAGCGTGTTGAGGAAGTTCTTCCTCCATTTGATGAAGACTGATTCGTCGCGAAACTCTCTGAACTCTGAGCGGACGGGCTTGTTGTTCTTGTCCCAAAGTGCGATTGCACGCTCCCCATCGGTCATCGTGGCATCGCTGCGTCTCATTTGTTGCCATGGGACGATTTCGCCGTGTGGCTGGAAGAGTCCAACTCTGAAAGCGTCGAGCGCGTCGGCCGTCAGTGATACGATGCGGATGGGTGCCTTCCTCTTGAACGACCAATGGTGATACATCTGTATCGCCGCGAGCAGTAGCTTCTTCCTGGTGAGAGGTACTGGTCTTGGAGCGCCGTGGGTGTCGTCGGAAGCTTGGAGATCCATAACTTCATCTTTGGTGAGAAATACTAGGAGATCCATCCATCCGTCGATTCCTTGTTCAGACAGTGCGATGCGCATGTGAGATGCATTGTACCCTGTGGTGGAAGCCTCTTCGCCGCATAGGTTGCATAGGACATGCTTGAGCTTGGCTGGTTCATCGGCCATCTTGATGGAGGTGTGGCAGTGCGTAACTGCGACTAGTTAATCTGCTAACGTGAGGAAATACTACTTGAATAGAGGGATCTTGTAGAGGTAGCTACCATCCAACGAGATCAACTGCAACTATTCAAGACGAGTGCAAAGTAAATGCAAAGTTCGCTTCTTAGTAATTCATAATCTGTGTTGTGAGCTTTGATTGATGCGATCAGTAAAGCTAGGTCGTAGCGTGTTAGATCAATGCATCGTGGTAGTTGATCTTGATTCATACGGAAGTCAACGTGGTATCTGCGGGAAACGGTTCGTTGGTAGGATGCTTTACTCCTGTCGAATACTCCAAATCACCGTGTCCTTTGGTTTTGTTGAGAACGTATTCTTGCCAGCGTTATCTGTTTCATCGTGTTGACCCATAAAGCATGACTCAATCTACTCACGGGTACTCTGAGTCGTGGGAGGAACTGTAACGCTTTCACAGTGATACCAGTAGCACTGATGGCGCCGGTTGTACCAGTCATAGTGTCAGGATCGGATGAAGACATGGTCAATGTTGATCTATGGGACAGGGGCGACGCAGAGGCATAGCTTGCTAGACTAGCTAGAGGCAGAGCTTGAAGCTGCCAGTGTGCCGAATTGTGGGCTTCGGCATTGCTTTCATGTTGGGCACACAGACCAAATTGGGTGTATGCCTCCCTGTGTAGAGAATGTACTGGAGGGTACAGCATATTCTCCTTGTGGTTTCAGATTCTCTCTGTCGGCTCGTTTCTGGGTTGGGTTTTGACGCCTGGGGATGAGCAAACTTGCCCATGGCTCTGTGTTGAATTTGTTAGAGCCTTTTTGTAAAAATTGTTTGCGCTAAGCCAATCTTTTACTTTGGCTGTTTTTCTCTATTGGATTTGATTAGATTGCATTGGATTAGATTAGATTGGATTGCATTGAATTACAGTTTACTATATAAATAACAGTACTATTTGGAAACCAATCCAATCCAATTCAATGCAATCCAATCCAATGCAATCCAATTAAATTTATCTCTTGGCAAAATACGAATTTCGTCTTTTTAACTGATTTTGGCAAGTCACACTCCATTACAATTAATACAGGGCTACAGTATTGCAAGATTTGCCCATCCCCCCTGAGGGCTGTCTTGCCCTAACTCTACCGTACCTAACTCTAATCATGAAGAAAAAGATCTCTTTCGAAAGACGTGTCAGTCACAAGCTTCTTTTTGTCAAAAAGACCATCGATGCCAGTGGTGGCATTACTTCGATACAGGAACATCCTTGGATCCTATTGTACACCTCAAGTCTTATTTTTAATTGAACGAAAAGCAGAGCAATGGTAGCCAACGCACTCCAAGATCGCCGAGGCGTCGATTTTGCCCGAAATGTGGCCATTGTGGCCGGTGTGGTGGCGATCATTTGCCTTGTTTTGGGAGCCCCCTTGGCCGCCTTGATATTGATGGTGGTTGGTTTCAGTGCGGGAATGACTTGGGAAGTAATCACGCGGCCTCCTCCGAACAATCCGGCTCATTTTCTGAAGCGATTTCGAGAGCTCTCGCCGCCACGACCCGTGTTGGTCTGCCTTGGAGATTCGCTGACCCATGGTCGTGTCTCGGACAATTGGACCGTCAAGATTCCTCCTCGGGTTGCCGCCAAAATGAAATTTGACCAACCTGCTCCAGGTGATTTCCAAGATCCCGTGTGGGTGGTCAATGCCGCTCAAAACTCCATTACTTCTTGGACCGTCATGAGAGAACGTTTGCAATCTGCGTTGGCGTGCTACCCAGATTACATTATTGTCATGATTGGTACCAACGATGTTCTCTCCATATATTCTCCAATGGCTTGCAGAGACAAGGTGAAAACCTTTCTGTTGCCAGAAGCACCCACCATGGCGGGTTTTAGGCGAAATATGACGGAGATTGTCGATTTTCTCACCAAAGCATCCCCCAAGACAGAAGTGGGACTTTGTACCTTGCCACCCTTTGGAGAAAATCTAGGGAGCGAGGGCAATAAACTCGTCAAGGAAGCCAACGAAATTGTTCATAGCATTGTCGATTCGCATACCAGTGACAAAGTCAGTGTCTTGGAGATTGGAGAAAGGCTACAGAGTCAAATCGTCCAGCGAAATGATGGTGGGAAAAAAGCAATGGAACCCATGATGATGATGCCTTTGCAAGCTGTTCAGGCTCCGCTGCACAGCCTGTTGGGAGCATCTTGGAATTCCATGACATTCATGTCGTCTGGGTGCATATTGCATGATACTCTTCATATCAACGAAGATGGGGGCGATGTTATTGCCGATGTTGTCACTGAATGGTTATTCCAAAAGAATATTCACAAAGCAATTGCTGTCAAACAGTTCTAATAATATGATACTACGTGTATCAGTATTGCTGGTTTGCTGGTAATTTTCCTTTAGAACTGCTGGCTATTTTCAACTGTAAGTACACTACTACTAGACTATGGAACAATACAAGCAAATGAAGCTATTTGGATAGCAAAGAAGCCTGGAAAAGCAAGGTCTTGCTTTTCCAGTGAATTGCTGCAAGATACTTGCAACGAGTTCTTGACGCTGAACCGTGCAGGAAGGTTTGTACTTGGCCTTTCCAGCGTTTCTTTCAGCTACATGTAGGAGCGGTATCATGATGATTTGTTGGTTAGAACAATGAATGCCATCAGATTGTATGGATCCTTCACTACTTTACTATAAACTATGGTACTGTCATCTGTTAAAATGCATAAACTATACGAAGCAGAAGTACCTAATTTTTTTGTCGGATATACACTTGTTATTCATTCCACAATGGTGAATTCCCCCAGCCATCCTCGCACAACTTCGTAGGTCAGAAACATGAGAGCTGAATTTGGGACAACCTTCATCAAGTGTACCCCCATTCCAGCGTACAGGCCTTGTCTTCCCTCTTCCTTGGCAATGAGCCCAAGCGTCTGCCACATCCCACTGTACTTGAACATGCCACCACGGGACTGTTCGCGCAGTCGAGTTCTGGCCACTTCATGAGGATATGTCACTATTGCGGCAGCCATTTTGGCAGCTGCAGCTGATACAAAGTAGGTGGCTTTGGAAAGCTGATCGGTTGGGGGAAGCCCCTCGGCAGCACGCTGCTTGTTTTTCTGTTTGATGAGGCGAGATTTGAATTGTTCATAGAGTATAAATTGCATCGCTCCTTCTGTGCAGCCCCAGTAGCTGGCAGTAATGCCCTTGTAAAATCCTCCAATTCCTTCTTCTCGGAAGATGGTGGAAATTGCGTCTCGATATCCAGCATACACAACTTGACCGGCAGATTGATCAGCCATTATTTGCATTCGTGTTCGAACCATCCAGATTGGATTCGTCAAGGTATTCCCAACTATTCCTGCCACCAACCCCGAAACCAACGCATTAGGGACAGATCCCTCTTCCGCATAGCGCCCCATTGCAACTTTGCAACGTTGATAGGAATAAAAGTAGGCTGAGCGGGATGGAATAATTCCTACCAGAGTGGGTGGAAGTCCTCTGAAAAACCCTGCAAAACCGTCCTTTTCCATAATCTTTTTGGCAAGGCCCACCGGGCTTCGGGTCCCAAACAAGCCTCCATCTGCGACATTGGACGATTGCAACTGGGTTTTGATGACCTCCAGTGGATTGGTGATTGTGGATGCTACCGTTCCTGCAAGACCACCCGAAAAAAGACTATATAGGAGAAATTCAAGAATGTGTTTAGTGGCCTGAAATCGAGGTTGAAAACTCTAAAAATAAAAGTCTATAAAGGATCCTTCCAAGATTTCATGATACCCTGTTACTCACTTGAAGGCTTCCATTTGCCTGGCTGTCATGGTTTTCATCACAGCAGCAGCACCGCCTCGAGTTTTCTTCCAGGTGTCTTTGCTTGGCCCCGCCATTTTTTGTTGATTCAATTCTGTCGAAGGGCATTGGCTCTGGCAAGGGTTTCTTCGAACATGAAAGGCAAATCTTGGAAATGGGGGAGCGGCAGCGGAGCACGGTGCAATATTCAGAAGAAATGCGGCAAGCAGCAGAAGGAAGCCCCTACTGGTGGGAAAAACTGTTTGTATCATGGCGGAAAGGTTGGGGGGATTTGTGCCTTTCGCAAAATGAAAGTGGAGACACGATGGGAATGGAATCTAACAAAAAGTATGAGCTAAAGGCGCAGCAAATTCCAATGGCTGGCTGAGACGAATCCACTTGATCCAATGATCCAATGGCTTGGACGATAAATAATGATAGTTTGATCCACTCCCTTGACTTGCCAAAAAGCTGTGGACGGCATCAGTTTCGAGCAAAGATTCGATCATTCGCCTCCATTATTTTTGATGGTGCCATGAAAACTGATGGCCAAAGGAACCTTCCAGAATTCTCAATCCAAGCAAACTTACGTCAGTATTAACTCTAACTCTATGACAACAGGGATTATCGCACCGATACCCTTCACCTTAGTCATTCGGGAATGAGACAGTCCTGGTCTGACTCAGTCCCGATCGAAGAACCTTTCTTTTTCGGATCCTTTTGTCGGCGACCATGGCCAAACTCATCGATCGTACAGCTGCAGTTTACAAAACTTGTTTAACCTCTTTGGTATCACCATGAAGCTCTCTTGCACGGTACCAGCACTGCTGGGCCTCAGCTGCTTGGCCGGCACTAATGCTTTCCAAATGCCACCATCCAGTCGACAGAATCATGTCTCCCTCCAAGCAGCCACGACGTCAGAACCAACCGCAATCAGTGATGAGGCCAAAGCTGCAAAGGAAGAGCTCTTGCAGTTACTTGGAACACGGGGATTTCAAGATCCAGTGTTGGCTGACCCTGATACGAAAGAACCGATTCGAGTGGTGACATCAGGAATTATTATGGGTGGCAATGGCCAACGAAAAAAGATTGATCTTCAATCCTCTACCAATAACTATCGAGGTAGCTCGGATACCTTCTTCAATTTGCTAGAGGCGGTTCAGTCAGCGGACAATGCCGATTCCGATAGCAGCAGGTCGGGTCTCGTCGCTGAAGCCGCCAAGAGATTGATCCCGTTCATCCCCCCTCCTCTTCGGTCGCCACTGGCCACGGCTGGATTTCCCGTCGGAGAAGACTATGGTGGGTACCGGTAGCTATGGCTCGTTGTTTGCTTTTTTATGACAGTGTTCCTCCCGGTCTAACTGGTTATTGTTATTCCTTGCAAACTGGTACCGTATGTAGTGCCCATGAGAGAGTAAGTTCAAATCGCCATGCTGTAGTTTGTCGTTCTTGCCGGGGCCTAACGCTCACATTCTTTGCTCCCACAACTTACTTGACTACGCACAGCTTGTTCACCAGCCCAAGTGTATCCTTTGCCTACGAAAGAGGCTGGCGCCAGGGATTCGCCGCAGCAGGATTTCCAGGGCCTGACAAGGAAGCCGAGTTTGCCATGGACTACTTCGCGCCAGCGATTGCCAAGGCTGAAGGATCCAATGTTCTAGTCGATATGAGTTGTGCTACTGGTAGGCGACCAAACCGACGATCGGATGCTTAGTTTACATCATCGTGACCCTTTGTCGACTTGTCTTGCACTCAACCCAAACATTCTCTTGCATTGCAGGTCTTTTCACTCGTCGATTTACCAAGAGTGGCAAGTACGACCGGGTTCTCGGTTGTGACTACTCGGCATCCATGCTGCAAGAGGCTCGGCGTAGAATCAAGGCGGATCCAAGCCTTTCCCCGGAGAGACGACAGTCGCAGTTGGACCTGGTTCGGTGCGACGTTGGCAGGATACCAATGAAGTCCGAGTCCGTTGATGCGTTTCATGCTGGTGCTGCCATGCATTGTTGGCCCGAACTGCCGAAGGCTGCATCTGAGATTTATCGCGTACTGAAACCTGGAGGAAGATACTTTGCCACTACATTCCTCTCAAGCTACTTCGGAACCCTTCAATCGGCTGAAGGAGGCGCTACTGGCCCATCCAGGCAAGCTTTCCAGTACTTCGCATCCACCCAAATGCTTCGTGAGCTGATGGAAGAAGGGGGCTTTTCGAGGGAGAAAATCTCGGTCGAAGTGATCGAGCCCTCTGCAGTGATTATCCGTTGCGAAAAGTAAAGCGTATTTAAGCACACTTGGACAGCAATCCCCGGCCTGTAGTAGATTGCTGACTAGCTTGCCAATACCGGTGCCGATACCAGTAGACTGCTCTATTGCGTCCTCTCAAGCACTCGCCGAAGTAGGGCAATGAGAGAACTTCACCCGGACGTGTGGATTCTGAACAATGTTGTAGTCAACGGGACGACCCTCTCCCACCTGAATTCGCATAGATCGCGCGAAGAATTCCACTGCCTGATTCACTTCACCCTGCTCCAGGAAAAGATTGCCCACGACATTCTTCATCCTAGCCACGTAGGCATGCCGCTCCCCAAACATTTTTTTGGTCAGCGATACGGCCTCTAGGTACGCCTTGAGCGACTCATCAATCTGTCCCTGGGAGTGGCATGCCCTGCCTAAATCAATCAGGGTTTGTGCAATGTCCAAGCACAGGTGATCATCTTCATTCAGCGACCTCAGGACTGACAGGGCCTGAAGAAGTGCATTCTGCGCAAAGCGAAACTCCTCTCGATCAAGGTATATCTTGCCCAGCAAGCAAAGGGAATCAGCCACCAAGGGATGTACATTTCCAAAGTGTCGTTTTCTGATTCGGAGTGCCTGAAGCATTGGTTTGGTCGAGTCATACAGGTTTCCCATCTCATAACAAATGAAACCTTTCCGATGCAGTGCCGTTGCAACTTGCAAGTGCAACACCCCCAAATACGAAACTGCAACATCGAGAAACTTGTCGAGATAGACGAGAGCTTCGTGGAGTTCATTTTGATGATGGTGTGACATCGAAATGTTGTACCACAATGCTGCAGCGTCCACTTCCAACATGTTCGGTCTCAACAGCCTCATTGCATCCAAGCACGTTCGTGTAGCCAGTTCATAATCACAATTGAAAAAATGAACAAACCCCATGTTCATCAAAGAGCGAACCAGAAAGCGCCTTAGCAGCCGGCTCGTAAGTTTGTGAGCCTCGGCAAGCTCTGGTGATTGTCGAAAACTTCTGTTTTCCCCCTCGTTTCGATACAACTCCACTAGCGCCGAGTTTCCCCTCGAGAGTGCGTCCGAGAACATCCCTTTGGCTTCTGTCATCTTTCCCTTCAGTTGTAACAGTATCTGACCAACATTGTTGATGCATGCTAGTGCCAGAGGGTCAAACGTCAGAAGAGACGGTTGCTGCGGCGCCAACGACAGGGACAGTTCAAAGAACTGAATTGCTGAATCCGCCGAATTCCACTGATAGTGTACAAGGCCCATGTTGAATAGACATGCTCGCGAGCATTGGTCCAACGGCACGCAAAAAGCCCCTGCGTCGGGTCCCTCTCGAAGTGGCACCTTGTCTCGAATTTTTCCATTGCCATCCGCAGCGGCATCAACGTCTACCAAAAACGGTTCGGAAAAGACCAGTATTGAATTTTCGTTTTTCTTTTCGGCTCCTCTCATTTTGGACGTCATGGGGAACAATCCAGGGATTCCTTGTAGCAAAAAGTTGGTGTGTTCGAGCACGGTTGTTTCCTCGTCGAGTGTATTGTCGAGGAGTACGCTAGAAGCATCTTTCACGGACCCGGTGGATTCCGCATCAAATTGGCTCAAAATGCTGTTGATTCTCTTTCGTCTTCGTATTTCCTCCTGTGACTCGCTGGCAGATGGCAGAGAAGCCCGACCTATTGTTTTTGTTTCTTTCTCAGTAGACGGTGCCCTCGCCACGGAGGTCTCCGCGACAGGATTGCGAGCTGAGGTTGTAGTCTTGGAAGGCTCAGTTTTAGAATTGTCGCTGTGGTGTTGGGCCACGTTTTGTTTTTGTAGCTGTGAGCTGCTGCTGCCTTCTTCGATTTCAGGGCGGCTATTACTACTGTTTGCGGAGGGATTTTCACTGACATGCTCGTCAGCCGAGGTCACATCAGCGGCTTTGTCAATTGCCGGCCGCTTTCTATCCTTACAACAGTGCTTGCCATTTTTCCCATTCTGCAGCGATGATTGGCAAGCGCCCGGTTCCAATTGCCGGGTCGTCAATTCGGTTCCGTTAGGTCGAGTGGAAGCAGCTTTCTTCAGATTGTCGGGCGTCTTTTGGGGGATTTCGTTTCCGGCGGTGCTGCGTTCTGGCTCTAACCTCGGTGTTTCTTGCGGTGCAGTTTCGGTGGAGGTAGTATCGGAGGACCCAGCAATATTGGCGGATGGTTTCTTGTCCTCATCAGAAGATTCTCCCTTTCGAGCCGGAAGCTTTCGGTCTTGCTCTTTGATAATTTCTTGTTGCATTCGCCGACGTTCTTGCAACAGCAATTCCAGTTGACCTTGAACTTGAACGGCTCGTTCCTGTGCGGGGGGCGCCGTGATTGTTGCATTTGGGTTTTCCAGAGCCATCATGGCTTGGACTCCTTCTTGTAGAAACTGCATGGCTGGAAGCAGCAAATCTCCTCCTTTCTGAAAGAGTAAACCCCCCACATTGTTGAGACGAGCCGCATGGGTTCTCCAGGCCTGTTCTATATCAGCACCATTCGAACCGGTAAAGGGTATGGTTGTGCCATTACCATTTTGGCTTGGTGCCTCTGCGCTCGCCTCGTCCGGACGTATCATAATGTCCAGGCTTCGCAGGGAAGACCATTAGAACCAAGAATTGTGTGCTCGTGTCTATCGTGCACTCTCTCAAGCCGTCGCCTTTCAATGACAAAAGGGCTTTCTCATTGGCCCTGCTATTGCCCTGGTTGCAACCCGCTGCTTTTCGTCGAACGTTTTGCTGAGCAAACGGGTCGAAATATGTTTATTTTATTCATATGCCCCCTGGGTCGTCTCCGTTTCCAGTAGTAGTTTAACTTGTCTACTAATACAGGATAATGGTGAATAGAATCGAATGAATCATGTGGCTTATATTTAGGGTTTAGGTTTTGCAATTTTGAAGTCAACGTGTGTTAAGTGGAGGGTTGGCTCGCTTCCGCTGGGAGCTTGGCGTCTTCTTTTTCCTCTGCTTCCCGCTCTTCGTCGGAACTGGGGTATTCGGTAATAGGATCGTGAGCAAGTTCGGCAGCTTTCTTCATACCTTGTGGAGTGTCATCATTCTGACTATTCGCAGGTGATACTTTGGCCGACGTGGTTCGTGGAACAGGTGGGACGGGAGATGACGTATTTGGTTGCATTGGAACTGGGATTGGTTTGCGAATAATATTGGGAGGTCCAGTATTGAGGATTTGAAAGTGAGGGCACGGGGATTTATACGGAAGCTACTGTAGGAGACTTACCACCGTTCCCTGCTGGTGCTTTTCCAGAAAGTTCCCAAGAAGGCCTCAAAGTTCATGCGGGGGGTAGTCAAAACCTGGGGAAGGGCCAGTGTGGTAGCTTGAAGGCGAACTGGTGAGTAGAGGTGGGGGGGGGGATGTGTGCGTGCGTAGTGGCTTGTAATAATGTTGCGACGGCACCAGTGATGGCCCGCATGCGACGAAGTCCGATGCATCCAAGGTTGTTTCGTTGAAATCAACGGACGTAAGAGTGAAGCCGGGAGTTGACCACGAGGCCAAAAAGAGTACACATGGCCTTGTCGTCCTTGAGGAATTCGGATACAGTGCGTATTCGCCTTGATCGATCCAAGAATCCGTCAAAGGTGAGTCATGATGTCGAGTGGGTGAGCAGCTCACTCCAGGTGTCATGCCTTGTACCACTTGTCCTGTTCGTCGAGACTAGGTAGGGTTCATCCTTCTTTGCCGGGTCGTACACGTATTGCATGTAGGCCGGTTTAAAGGTTTCATTGAACCACTTCAAGGCCATTTCTGGGGTTGGGAGCTGGGGTAAGAAACGTTCACCAGTTTGTTCGTCAAGTTCACCTCTGGGGCACATGATAACAAAGCCTCTTTGGTCATAAGAAGTACCGTTGGTGGCCTCGTACATAAGGAGCTTTTCCCCATCAGCAGAAGCGGGGTCCACCAATTTGAATACCCACTCGATCATGTGCTTGTCAGCGAGGGCTTGAACAAAGGCCATCATGTCTTTGGGTTTAACGCCGTTGACGGAGTGGTCTTTGCGTCGGTTGTACATACACCCGGTAGCTTTCTTTTAACAAAGCCTGTGAACTTGAGGAACATTCCGGGAAGGGGTATTCTTCGTCTCCCTTGAGGTTGCTGGGAATACAGCGTGGAACTCACAGATTTGAAAGGACCTCTTGCTTTGTTGCCGCCGGCCTTTTCTTCTTGCTGTTGATCCCGCGGAAGTAGGGTTCGATGGCGACGACGTGTGTTGATGTCGGGTGTTTGGAAGACATGGTGAAGGAGTTCTGAAAACTTGAAGTCCGAAGAGGAAGGTGAGTGGCCATGTTGAAAGGCAAAACATTGTCAAACAGAAGAAGGTAAAATAGAAAGTACTTACGGGGGCAGGAGAGATGGCTGATGGGTTGGCTGCTAGTAGGATGAGGGATGTTTGAGTTTTGCTGAACCGATTTGTGACTGTTTCAAGATGATCGATGCGATAGAATGGTTGCATATATACATTTCAATGCAAAGAAAGTATATATAGAAACGGGGATGTCTTCGCCTGAGTGTATTCGCTGAAACGATTGAGCGGAGATCGTGTAGCCTGGCTTGTAATCCTATAGTGAAAAGTACACTTGTATCGAAGGGGGAAGGGGCGTTCCAGCGGAAGTCGTGCACATACTTTCGCTAGAAATCGCAAGTTTCGTGGAAAGATTCGATTTGAATTATTTAAGGACGGTACCGTAGACACATGAAGACACACGTGTGATTGGAGTTTTGTGAAATCCCTCAATTGCGCCGGCAGGGATTTAGGGTATTTGAAACGGTGCATATAATGATATTTTATCTTATCCACGGACCCGGTGGATTCCGCATCAAATTGGCTCAAAATGCTGTTGATTCTCTTTCGTCTTCGTATTTCCTCCTGTGACTCGCTGGCAGATGGCAGAGAAGCCCGACCTATTGTTTTTGTTTCTTTCTCAGTAGACGGTGCCCTCGCCACGGAGGTCTCCGCGACAGGATTGCGAGCTGAGGTTGTAGTCTTGGAAGGCTCAGTTTTAGAATTGTCGCTGTGGTGTTGGGCCACGTTTTGTTTTTGTAGCTGTGAGCTGCTGCTGCCTTCTTCGATTTCAGGGCGGCTATTACTACTGTTTGCGGAGGGATTTTCACTGACATGCTCGTCAGCCGAGGTCACATCAGCGGCTTTGTCAATTGCCGGCCGCTTTCTATCCTTACAACAGTGCTTGCCATTTTTCCCATTCTGCAGCGATGATTGGCAAGCGCCCGGTTCCAATTGCCGGGTCGTCAATTCGGTTCCGTTAGGTCGAGTGGAAGCAGCTTTCTTCAGATTGTCGGGCGTCTTTTGGGGGATTTCGTTTCCGGCGGTGCTGCGTTCTGGCTCTAACCTCGGTGTTTCTTGCGGTGCAGTTTCGGTGGAGGTAGTATCGGAGGACCCAGCAATATTGGCGGATGGTTTCTTGTCCTCATCAGAAGATTCTCCCTTTCGAGCCGGAAGCTTTCGGTCTTGCTCTTTGATAATTTCTTGTTGCATTCGCCGACGTTCTTGCAACAGCAATTCCAGTTGACCTTGAACTTGCGTATGTAGTGCCCATGAGAGAGTAAGTTCAAATCGCCATGCTGTAGTTTGTCGTTCTTGCCGGGGCCTAACGCTCACATTCTTTGCTCCCACAACTTACTTGACTACGCACAGCTTGTTCACCAGCCCAAGTGTATCCTTTGCCTACGAAAGAGGCTGGCGCCAGGGATTCGCCGCAGCAGGATTTCCAGGGCCTGACAAGGAAGCCGAGTTTGCCATGGACTACTTCGCGCCAGCGATTGCCAAGGCTGAAGGATCCAATGTTCTAGTCGATATGAGTTGTGCTACTGGTAGGCGACCAAACCGACGATCGGATGCTTAGTTTACATCATCGTGACCCTTTGTCGACTTGTCTTGCACTCAACCCAAACATTCTCTTGCATTGCAGGTCTTTTCACTCGTCGATTTACCAAGAGTGGCAAGTACGACCGGGTTCTCGGTTGTGACTACTCGGCATCCATGCTGCAAGAGGCTCGGCGTAGAATCAAGGCGGATCCAAGCCTTTCCCCGGAGAGACGACAGTCGCAGTTGGACCTGGTTCGGTGCGACGTTGGCAGGATACCAATGAAGTCCGAGTCCGTTGATGCGTTTCATGCTGGTGCTGCCATGCATTGTTGGCCCGAACTGCCGAAGGCTGCATCTGAGATTTATCGCGTACTGAAACCTGGAGGAAGATACTTTGCCACTACATTCCTCTCAAGCTACTTCGGAACCCTTCAATCGGCTGAAGGAGGCGCTACTGGCCCATCCAGGCAAGCTTTCCAGTACTTCGCATCCACCCAAATGCTTCGTGAGCTGATGGAAGAAGGGGGCTTTTCGAGGGAGAAAATCTCGGTCGAAGTGATCGAGCCCTCTGCAGTGATTATCCGTTGCGAAAAGTAAAGCGTATTTAAGCACACTTGGACAGCAATCCCCGGCCTGTAGTAGATTGCTGACTAGCTTGCCAATACCGGTGCCGATACCAGTAGACTGCTCTATTGCGTCCTCTCAAGCACTCGCCGAAGTAGGGCAATGAGAGAACTTCACCCGGACGTGTGGATTCTGAACAATGTTGTAGTCAACGGGACGACCCTCTCCCACCTGAATTCGCATAGATCGCGCGAAGAATTCCACTGCCTGATTCACTTCACCCTGCTCCAGGAAAAGATTGCCCACGACATTCTTCATCCTAGCCACGTAGGCATGCCGCTCCCCAAACATTTTTTTGGTCAGCGATACGGCCTCTAGGTACGCCTTGAGCGACTCATCAATCTGTCCCTGGGAGTGGCATGCCCTGCCTAAATCAATCAGGGTTTGTGCAATGTCCAAGCACAGGTGATCATCTTCATTCAGCGACCTCAGGACTGACAGGGCCTGAAGAAGTGCATTCTGCGCAAAGCGAAACTCCTCTCGATCAAGGTATATCTTGCCCAGCAAGCAAAGGGAATCAGCCACCAAGGGATGTACATTTCCAAAGTGTCGTTTTCTGATTCGGAGTGCCTGAAGCATTGGTTTGGTCGAGTCATACAGGTTTCCCATCTCATAACAAATGAAACCTTTCCGATGCAGTGCCGTTGCAACTTGCAAGTGCAACACCCCAAATACGAAACTGCAACATCGAGAAACTTGTCGAGATAGACGAGAGCTTCGTGGAGTTCATTTTGATGATGGTGTGACATCGAAATGTTGTACCACAATGCTGCAGCGTCCACTTCCAACATGTTCGGTCTCAACAGCCTCATTGCATCCAAGCACGTTCGTGTAGCCAGTTCATAATCACAATTGAAAAAATGAACAAACCCCATGTTCATCAAAGAGCGAACCAGAAAGCGCCTTAGCAGCCGGCTCGTAAGTTTGTGAGCCTCGGCAAGCTCTGGTGATTGTCGAAAACTTCTGTTTTCCCCCTCGTTTCGATACAACTCCACTAGCGCCGAGTTTCCCCTCGAGAGTGCGTCCGAGAACATCCCTTTGGCTTCTGTCATCTTTCCCTTCAGTTGTAACAGTATCTGACCAACATTGTTGATGCATGCTAGTGCCAGAGGGTCAAACGTCAGAAGAGACGGTTGCTGCGGCGCCAACGACAGGGACAGTTCAAAGAACTGAATTGCTGAATCCGCCGAATTCCACTGATAGTGTACAAGGCCCATGTTGAATAGACATGCTCGCGAGCATTGGTCCAACGGCACGCAAAAAGCCCCTGCGTCGGGTCCCTCTCGAAGTGGCACCTTGTCTCGAATTTTTCCATTGCCATCCGCAGCGGCATCAACGTCTACCAAAAACGGTTCGGAAAAGACCAGTATTGAATTTTCGTTTTTCTTTTCGGCTCCTCTCATTTTGGACGTCATGGGGAACAATCCAGGGATTCCTTGTAGCAAAAAGTTGGTGTGTTCGAGCACGGTTGTTTCCTCGTCGAGTGTATTGTCGAGGAGTACGCTAGAAGCATCTTTCACGGACCCGGTGGATTCCGCATCAAATTGGCTCAAAATGCTGTTGATTCTCTTTCGTCTTCGTATTTCCTCCTGTGACTCGCTGGCAGATGGCAGAGAAGCCCGACCTATTGTTTTTGTTTCTTTCTCAGTAGACGGTGCCCTCGCCACGGAGGTCTCCGCGACAGGATTGCGAGCTGAGGTTGTAGTCTTGGAAGGCTCAGTTTTAGAATTGTCGCTGTGGTGTTGGGCCACGTTTTGTTTTTGTAGCTGTGAGCTGCTGCTGCCTTCTTCGATTTCAGGGCGGCTATTACTACTGTTTGCGGAGGGATTTTCACTGACATGCTCGTCAGCCGAGGTCACATCAGCGGCTTTGTCAATTGCCGGCCGCTTTCTATCCTTACAACAGTGCTTGCCATTTTTCCCATTCTGCAGCGATGATTGGCAAGCGCCCGGTTCCAATTGCCGGGTCGTCAATTCGGTTCCGTTAGGTCGAGTGGAAGCAGCTTTCTTCAGATTGTCGGGCGTCTTTTGGGGGATTTCGTTTCCGGCGGTGCTGCGTTCTGGCTCTAACCTCGGTGTTTCTTGCGGTGCAGTTTCGGTGGAGGTAGTATCGGAGGACCCAGCAATATTGGCGGATGGTTTCTTGTCCTCATCAGAAGATTCTCCCTTTCGAGCCGGAAGCTTTCGGTCTTGCTCTTTGATAATTTCTTGTTGCATTCGCCGACGTTCTTGCAACAGCAATTCCAGTTGACCTTGAACTTGAACGGCTCGTTCCTGTGCGGGGGGCGCCGTGATTGTTGCATTTGGGTTTTCCAGAGCCATCATGGCTTGGACTCCTTCTTGTAGAAACTGCATGGCTGGAAGCAGCAAATCTCCTCCTTTCTGAAAGAGTAAACCCCCCACATTGTTGAGACGAGCCGCATGGGTTCTCCAGGCCTGTTCTATATCAGCACCATTCGAACCGGTAAAGGGTATGGTTGTGCCATTACCATTTTGGCTTGGTGCCTCTGCGCTCGCCTCGTCCGGACGTATCATAATGTCCAGGCTTCGCAGGGAAGACCATTAGAACCAAGAATTGTGTGCTCGTGTCTATCGTGCACTCTCTCAAGCCGTCGCCTTTCAATGACAAAAGGGCTTTCTCATTGGCCCTGCTATTGCCCTGGTTGCAACCCGCTGCTTTTCGTCGAACGTTTTGCTGAGCAAACGGGTCGAAATATGTTTATTTTATTGTTTTGATGATCGACAGGGTTGGGGGTTTCAAGAGCGACCATGACCCTCATCGGATCCACGGGCACAAGAAGAACAAGCAAGTGTCGGTGAAGTAATAGGCGAGCATCGAGAGGCTGCCATTCAACAATCACCTTCATCGTAGTGGCATCTTCCCTCGTAGTGTACAGTTGTCTGCAGATTGCTGTTCGGTCACGCCGCTTCCATTTCTGAGCATTGAACGATCGATTGTTGAGTGTTGTTTGGCCATCTCGATCAACATGGCCGAAACAGAGGACACGACAACCAGCGACTCCAAGGCTGCTGTAGATGGGACCAGCGAACAGCCTCCTGCCAAGAAGAAGCGTACGGCGGATCGTCAAATCACGAAAGACGATGAGGAAAAAGAGGACGACGGTGAAGCTGCGGCGGACGGATCATTTGCCAAAGCCGATCCAGAAATCCTTCGCAAGCGACGAATTATCAAGGCCAAGCGCCCGCAATCAGAAGAAGGAGAAGACACGACAACGACGACATCTAGCGACAATAAGCAACAACCGCCAGCCAACCCTTTTGCTAGCACAGTCTTAAAGCCAAATAATGACGATGGCGACAAGAACGGAGACAAACCCAAAGTTTTCGGCTCGGGTTCGGGATTTTCGGGTTTTGGAACAGCAGCAGCAAGCGGCAGCAGCACTGGATTTGGAGGTTCTGGTTTTGGCAGTGCCTCGTCGTCTGGTGGTGGTTTTGGCAGTGCTTCTTCCTCCGGTGGTGGTTTTGGCAGCGGAACCACCTACAAGGGATTCAACACGGCGCCTTCTTCCACTGGTTTCGGATTTGGATCCACGGCAGCTACCACAGCCAAGAATGGGGAAGATGGAGACGCTGCTGCTGGTGGGACCAAATCCAAAAACTTCTTTGACGCTTCCGGTCATAAAGGCTCCTTTGGTTTTGTGGCTCCCTCCTCATCTCCAGCCAAAGACTCCGCCACTAGTAGTGAACAACAGAGTGACACCAAAGCAGCTCCTGCTGCATCTAGCAAACCTACGGTGAAATTGCCCGATGAAGTCAAGCTTACAACAGGAGAAGAAAGCGAAAAGATACTCACGGAGATTCGAGTAAAGACATTCAAATTGGTCCCAGCATCTGCTGGGAATGAAAAGGAGGCAGATTCGACACAACAATCCAATGCGGCAGCTCCGTCGGTGCCACCGTCGGCTTCTTCCTTTTCCAAACCCAAGCCATCAGCCGAATCGGCGAGTACTGCGTCTTCTGTGGAATCCAAGGAAACCACCAGTGACAGCAACGACAATAAAAAAGATGACGCAGACAGCAAAACGGAGGGCGACAACAAGACGAGCGGCAAAAAGTGGCAGGACAATGGGGTGGGACCGCTTCGTGTGCTCGAAGGAGGACCCAACAAGCTTCGTTTGGTGCAACGATACCAAGGAAAGAATCCCGGCGACAAGCCCACTCGAGTCATCCTCAATCTACCATTTTGGAAGGAAACGATCATTATGAAAACTGACAACAAATACGTCCAACTGGATCTTCTCGTTCCAACCAAAGAGAAAAAGTTGGAAAAACAAACCTACATGATAAAATTCAAAACGGATGCAGAGGCTGCCGGTTTGTTTGAGCTTCTAACCAGAGAAAAGAAGAATGCCAAGTCGTATTTAGAACCAACAGCGGCTGTGGATGATGACAACGAGAAGAAGGAAGAAGCCAAGCCAACGTCCGCATAATGACATCTCGTCTCAAGCAAGTTTTGCTGTCGTTACAGCTAAGTATAGGTTGACGTGAAACTACATGTAGTAATGTATTCGTTCGGTCTTGGCAGTGAATTGGCTTTCTCGAAAGACGTAACTTTTGCTGTGCACATGTAGGATCCTTCCGTTCAACTACTGGTAGCTTACTAGATGCCGCACAGGTCCGTAATGTACGGTACCAGTGAGAGCAAATCTCGATGGGTTGCTAAGTCAACGACAGGAAAATTCCGGGGCAGTACGGAAAGGGTGCTTGTCAAAGGAGGGCTACTAACGCTGGGTCCCACCGTGCGGAACAGTCACCCAGGCTGGAGACTCGACTCCCGCACGGACAGACTACTATAGCAACACCGCAACATCCAGTTCCCAAACGACTCTCCAATGGGAACTGGGCCCAAAATGCAAAACGATATGCTGGATTTTAAGGAGGGCAAACCTGAGGTGTGGCTCTTGCAGCTTCAGCCAAGTGGGGTGGTACGCGTGCATACTCAATTGGAGTTGATTGATTGGAAGTAGAGAGTGTTGCCTTCATGCTTCCAGACACCACATTTCTTCACACTGCATTCGTCATGCAAAAGTAATATCCGACTGTGAACAGCATCGATAAAACTTTCAAACAAGTGGGTTGGTTGGTTCACTTGCCACCGGTTTTGGCAGGGTTGGGTAAACATAGGATGCCGAAACAGAGCCAACCCATTGCCCTGCTGCCACCTAGGACCGGCTACTACGTACTGATGGGATATTATGCTACGGTAAATCGAGCTCGGGTTGGAGCTACAACACTACGATGACGAAGATGATGACGAGACGAGGCATCAGAGGAGTTCTCTGCGTCGTAACCAGGTTGAGTCCACCAACGGATATGAGAGGTGGAGCCTGGTGCCGGTTGTGCTGTTTCGCAAAGGTGGAGGATGGGTCTGGTTGCGATGTATGGTGCTCTGGTGATTCTGGCGGCGACTTATGTGCTCATTGATGGAGTGCAGGCCTGCATCACAAACACGTACACTAACTCCACTGGTCTCTGTGAGCTATCTTTGCTGACAATCAACTTGGAAAGGTCTCCTTTCTCTTTCCTTGTGGTCCTATTCCTCTTTAATATGTTGAGCAAATGTGCTGGGTAATCATACCACCAAAAATCGAGGGGAGCGGTTCATACGGTATCGTATCCTGGGTATTGCTTTCTTGCAATGACATTTCGTTCCCAGCGAGCTAGCTAGTGGATACATGTAGGCGAGAAGTATGCGACAAAGATCCAACCATTGATACATGGTGAATTTCTCAGTAAAATTTCCCGGGGATATTTCGAGCAATGACCATTTCGAGCAAAATAGGCTCAAGCATCCTCCAAGCAAGTACTAGCCAGCAGTACAACCTTTCAAGAAGCAAGCTTTGTCCTCAAGGTACGTAGTAACATGAGCGTAACCTTCCAGTTGAAGATTGAAAGGAAAGCGAAGCAACTTCCCCGAGGCGGAAGGGTGAGGTGATAGGGAGAGTGCTCCAGCAAAGATACCGGTAGGTGACGATGCATGGGCATTGTCTGCTCAGAGCTCTGCTCAGGTACGGTAGTTCTTTCAACTCTTCACTCTTCGGCAAGCGTCGCGTGCGTATGTGCACATCTATTTTAATAAAATAAAAGAGCTCGAGCTGCATTGCTACAGGGAGAGCTGAGTTTGGCAATTGAAACCGCACCCAAGCAAAAACAGGAGCATGTAGCTCGAAAGCTTCAACTCAGTATCGGTGTGCTACATGCTAGCAAATCCAACTAACCAGCTACGGTACGTACCGGTATGTAGCTGGCGCTACCCAGGCAACTTTCGAGCCACTTTTGTCACAGTTGTTCTGTAAGATTTGCGAAGGGTAATCCCCCCAACCTGATCTTTTAAATCTCAGTGCTCACTTGTCAGAGAGTGTGTTTGCAGAGCTTACAAGGAGTTCTTCCAGTGTGTTCCAAGAGCTGTTCCAGCAACAAAAACCTGTACAAGCCCACCACAGTGATGACTTCATTTGGTCGCGGGAGTCTTTGAAAACCACTCGAGCACTCGAGCACTCGAGCAATCAACCGTGGCGGGGCAACGAAGCTATGTACAACGCAACAACGTACATCGTATGTACACCGTCCTCTACATCTTGTGTCTGCTACATGTAGTAGTACATGTAGTAGTACATGTACAACGTACAAACACCTGATGAAACAATGGATGAGCTCTCCAGTGAGGTTCGACCTCCAGTATGTTTGTTGAGGCTGTTGTTGTTTTGTCAACTCTCTTCTCACAATCACAAAAACTTCCACAACAAAACCAACAGAAACCAAAAACACGTCACCAAACATACACCAATAATCCAATCACCATGAGCATGATCAGAGAAAACTACCGCCTTCAGTCCGACAGACGCCAGTTCGGAGGTCTGATGATGATCTTGGGTTTCTGTGCCATAATTCAGCCTCTCGGAGGCATTGTTTCCAGTTTTGGGCCCGACGGCGCCCTTACCACCGATCCCAGTGAGATTCCATTCTGGGGAATGATTGCAGCCTTTTGCCTCTTCACCAATGGTGTCGTTGCCGTCATCATTGGATACATGTCTACCGTGCATGATTGGAGCCACCGATATCTGACTGCCTTTTCGGTTCTTATCATCCAAGTAAGTGACACTGCAAGAATCTGTTTGGCTGGAGTTGTCAATGGTCATCATTGTGACTAACATCCCTTTCTCTCTTCCGTACCCACAGACTGCGTTTATCCCCTACATTACTGATATGACTGCCGTGGGAAAGGGTGCAACAGCATCTCTGGAGGAGCAACAATTCATCCCTTCCGATTATGAGCCAACCGAGACTGATGTGAAGTTCGTCGGTGCTATGGGCATTCTGGGGATTGCAACTTACGGTTTCGCCTTTGTGGGAGCCATCTCATTCATGGCTTTCTGCCTACACGCATACAATACCGGTACACCCGAGCAACGCAGCGGCGCTTACTTTGAAGGACGTATGGGCTTATATTCCTTTATTTTGGCCCTTGGTGGACTTGCTCAGTTGATGCTTGGAGCCTACTGTCGCGTCAAGTTTGACAATGCCGTCTATCGCGAAGGCATCGTTCACGTTGCCATGTTCTTTGTCAGCTACCCAACAATCTCCATGTGTGTGGGATTGATTCAGGTCTTCACAGGCATTTGGGGAGTCTTCCGATCTGTTGGCTATCACAGTGGACCCAATGATTACTATTATCAAATTATCCTGACTGCCCAATGGGTTGCTGTGCTGACCTTGCAGGTGGTTGCACAGATTGCTTATGCTCCAGAAGGCGAATTGGCCCTCGCCGCTCCAACAGTTGCTGCCATGAGCTTGGGTATCAATCTCATGCCTGCCTTCCTTGACCAAAAGATGAGGACCCTGCCAGCCCAGTTTGATGCCAACTACTCTGCCTTGCCAACACACCGTGACGTGAAAGAGTTGTCTGAGTCCGGGTCCATGCCCTCCGGAGTCACAGCCGATGAGGTTGCCATGCCCGAAATTCCCGAAACCTCCGTCGATGAGGAACCCAACATGTCAATGAACATGATCGCCGAGATTGAAGTCTAACTATATTGCTTTCGGCACCCTTCACAACAATTGGCAATTCTGATGAACATGAATGTTCAATCAATCATGCACCTCCCCTCCACTTCCCAGCGTCCTTTTTCTTTGTTCTTTCAACAAACACTTCAATACTCCACTAATCTTTAGATCAACTTCCACTTAATGTATCTGTGCTTAGCTAGCTAGGTATGAAGCTGCCAACCCGCTCACCCTTCGAAATACAGGCCCCGGCCCTGGTGTTGGCGGAGCGGTTCCATTGGTGCATCCAGTACTAGCTAGGTTCCTTTGTTGCAACTCTTATTGGACCGGAGTGGATCCTGGAGTAGGTTCTGGTGCTGGGCCTGGTTTTGACTTGGCTTGGGTTAAACTGTTGAATCTGGAGTATATCCAGGAGACGATGTCTTATTTAGTTGGGGTGTGTCCAGTTGTTGGTCTGGGAGTTGCACCAGGTTCTTCCTCCTGGATGACAATTGCTGTGGTTGGGGAAAAGGGTCCAAGACCAAGAGGAAACGCCACAAGCCTTTTGAGTCTAGTTTTGAACGCGAGTTGGGGTGATTGGAGCGTGTTTTCCCACAACTACAGAAGGAACATGGATTGCAAGCCACCAACACAGTGCTTGTGTCTAAAACCAACAATGATGGTGAAGAAGGACCCCGCCTTGGCAGATGGGTGAGGCGTATGCGCCACGAAAAACGTTCAGGGACAGTGTCAACAGATCACATGAAACATCTTGGATGACATTCGCTTTGGTTGGGGAAGGCAAAAGGCTCTGTTCCGTGGGAGGAGACTTGTCAGCGACTGGAGCGTGTTATTCCACAACTACAGAAGGAACATGGAATACAATTAAGCCACCGACCCAGCGATTGTGTCCAAAGCCTACAATGGTGAAGAAGGAACTCACCTGGCAGATGCTCTCTTGGACATGATGTTTCTCTCCATCCTCCATCGTCCACAGACGACCACCTCGAAGAACAAGCAGCCGGAGGCTGATGCCCTCAACTGTCAAAAAGAGATTTGATTGGTCAAATCATTTACCGTGTTCAACTGGACACACTATTGATAGCAAGTCTCCATACCGTAGCCAGCCAGTACGGGCACAGTGGTATCGGTACCCATGGGTCCAGAGTACTGTGTCCAACAGAACACACAATATAAATCCCTATCCTTAACAAGGAAAATGTCCCTTATGTCTTTGGCAAAACCTCCACCGTGTTTATCTGGACACACTAGCGAGTCTGCATAGCCAGCCAGTACTGGTACCCATGCGTAGAAACTACTGTGTCCAACAGAACACACAAGATTAATACCTATCCTTAACGAGCGACGAAAACAGCTGCAACAAACACACAAACACACAAACACACACACACACACACACACACACACACACACACATACAGCGATAAAAGTGTGAAAGACCCTCAGTCCGTTGAGGGCAACTGAAAGGTGAAAGAAAAATTCGATCCAAAGACATGGACTCGATTTTATTCGATTCGATTGAGTCGAATGAATCGATGATCAATCAAAGCATCGAATCCGGTGGTGGGTCCCGAATGTGACGTGACTCTGTTCCACCAGCTTCGATGCCGATCTTTATTCGTTTCGATCTTGCCGCGTCTTTGGACGCCTCAAAGCTTGGTGGGTCTGCGAGCATCAAAGCCTGCCATTCTCCATAGTTTGGAATTGACAAAGCACGAATATTGATTGTGAATTTGAAGACGATTGAAGGTATGTAATGTGGATAACGAGAGAGTACGGTAACGTGTGACGTGATTTGTGGCAAAGCGGCGCTCACAACTGATGTATTGTCGATTTTTGCAGACCAATAGATAGAACAGAAAAAGAGGAAACCATGGCGTAAGTCATTTTGGCATTTGCTGTGTCGTGTTTTTCCCTTCACGTTGGGCAATCCTCACACTCACCTCTCCTTGCAACAACCACAGTAAAGACGCAGAAATGAAAGATGCCATTCTCGGAGGAGGCGCCAAGAAGCGCAGTCCCAACCGTTTGCTTGTGGATGACGCCACGAACGACGACAATTCGGTGATTAGTTTGTCACCCGCCAAGATGGAGCAGTTGGAGCTTTTCCGTGGAGACACTGTGTTGATCAAGGGAAAGAAAGGAAAGGACACCGTCTGCATTGTGTTGGCCGATGAGACTTGTGACGACTCCAATGTACGCATGAACAAAGTTGTGCGCAAAAATCTTCGCGTCCGCCTCAGTGATGTCGTCACAGTAACCAGTTGCGGCGACGTCCCCTACGGCAAGCGCATTCACATCCTTCCTTTGGACGATACCATCGAGGGAGTCAGCGGAAATCTCTTTGATGTTTACCTCAAGCCCTACTTTTTGGAGGCTTACCGTCCCGTCAAGAAGGGAGATTTGTTTTTGGTCCGTTCGGCCATGCACCCTGTCGAGTTCAAGGTCGTCGAAACCGATCCTTCCCCATATTGTATTGTGGCCCCCGACACTGTCATCCACTGTGAAGGAGACCCCGTCAAGCGTGAAGACGAAGAGAAGCTTGATGACGTTGGATATGATGATGTAGGAGGCTGCCGCAAGCAAATGGCACAAATCCGCGAAATGATTGAATTGCCGTTGCGGCATCCAACCCTCTTTAAGACGCTCGGTGTCAAGCCTCCTCGTGGAGTCCTCCTCTATGGACCTCCTGGAAGTGGTAAAACATTGATTGCTCGTGCTGTGGCGAATGAGACTGGAGCATTCTTCTTCCTGATCAACGGTCCCGAAATCATGTCCAAAATGGCCGGTGAGTCTGAATCCAACCTCCGAAAAGCATTCGAAGAAGCCGAAAAGAACGCACCCGCCATCATTTTCATTGATGAAATTGATTCGATCGCTCCAAAGCGTGAAAAGACAAACGGTGAAGTAGAGCGTCGTATTGTCAGTCAAATGTTGACGCTCATGGACGGATTGAAGCAGCGCGCCAGTGTCGTCGTCATTGGCGCCACCAATCGTCCCAATGCTATCGATCCTGCCCTCCGTCGTTTCGGACGTTTCGATCGAGAGATTGATATTGGAGTGCCAGACGAAAATGGACGTTTGGAGGTTTTCCGAATCCACACACGAAACATGAAGCTTGACGATGATGTCGATCCAGAGGCCGTTGCCCGTGAAACTCATGGTTTTGTCGGAGCTGATATTGCCGCTCTCTGTACCGAAGCAGCCATGCAGTGCATCCGTGAAAAGATGGATTTGATTGATATCGAGGACGAGCAGATTGATGCCGAAATCTTGGATTCCATGGCCGTCAACCAGGACCATTTCCGCCACGCCCTTGGACAATCCAACCCGTCCAGTCTTCGTGAGACTGTCGTCGAAGTGCCCAACACTACCTGGGAAGATATCGGTGGATTGGAGGAGGTCAAGGTACGAATAACTATTTCTTTTTGTTTGTTTAATTTCTTCCGTCAACTAAAACTTTGTTCCCTTATTTTCTGATTTACAGCGCGATCTCAAGGAGCTTGTCCAATATCCTGTGGAGCACCCAGAAAAGTTCGAGAAGTTCGGTATGAGCCCCAGCAAGGGAGTACTTTTCTATGGACCTCCTGGTTGTGGTAAGACTTTGATGGCCAAGGCTGTCGCCAACGAGTGCCAAGCCAATTTCATCTCGGTAAAGGGACCCGAGCTTTTGACCATGTGGTTCGGAGAGAGTGAGGCCAATGTCCGCGACGTCTTTGAAAAGGCTCGCCAGGCAGCACCTTGTGTTCTCTTCTTTGATGAGTTGGATTCCATTGCCCAGCAGCGTGGAGGAAGCAGCGGAGATGGAGGCGGCGCTGCTGATCGTGTCATGAATCAGTTGCTGACTGAGATGGATGGAGTTGGCGCCAAAAAGAACGTCTTCATCATTGGAGCGACCAATCGACCCGATATCATCGATACGGCTCTCATGCGTCCTGGCCGTTTGGATCAGCTCATCTACATCCCCATGCCCGACTTTGAGAGTCGTTTGTCGATCCTCCGAGCTACTCTGCGCAAGAGTCCTGTCTCGAAGGATGTTGATCTTAACTATCTTGCTTCCCAGACCGATAAGTTCACCGGTGCCGATCTCACAGAGATCTGTCAGTCGGCTTGTAAGATGGCAATCCGCGAGGAGATCGAGCGTGATATTGAACGCACCCGCATCAAGGAGGAAGCTGGCGAGGAAATGGAAGAGGACGATGACGACGAGGATGAAGATTTGATGCCTGAAATTCTTCCAAAGCACTTTGAGCACGCTGTCCGTCAAGCCCGTCGATCCGTCTCTGACCGAGACTTGGCCCAATACGCATCCTTCGCCCAAACCCTCCAACAGTCCCGTGCCGCTGTGACGGGAGCCGCTGGTGGCAGTTTGGCCACATTTGCTTTCCCTGAAGCAGGGGGCGGCGGAGGAGAAGCCGCCGGTGGAGCTGCCGATGATGACGACGAAGAGGATCTCTACAGTTAGATTTTTCGATTTGTCGTCGACATTGGGATTCAAGCAAAGTGAAAAGAGGCAGTCTGTGATGGTCGACAGCAGCCTCAGATTAAAGTTTGGTCGTGATGAGAATTGCGATACGAGTATATAGAAGATTTTATCAATAACATAGCAGGACACTTTCAAAGAGAAGAATGTATTTTTCCTTCGTTGCTTGCACATGGTTTGCCGAGCGTTTGATGGCGTTTCCCTGTCCGTTGATGACATGCACGAAGTGATTCGATTCACTAGCCTAACTGCTAATAAGCCACAGCACTGCAGATCGTTCCTTTGAAGCCAAAAGTTGCACAAGCAGCTACCAGCATACTGGTATCGGACGAGGCTCGAAAGGAAGTTGACCAGGTTCTTACCCACGGGATGGCTGCTTGTTGCTCATTGCAAACTACACGCTACCGTACACTGTTACGCTTTCTCAAGCTAAACGATGACGAGGTTCTTCCCCACGGGTTGGCTGCTTGTTGCTAATTGCAAACTATACGCTACCGTACACTTCACAAGCTAAACAATTTTTGTCACCCTTTGTGGGTTCGCTGCTTTTGTGCCACTTCCATCTGATTGTGATCGGCACTTTGTGCCTTTTTACTACAGAAGGATTGAGCTTGAGCATGATGCTGCCTGGTACCATGCCATCTGAGCAAAACACGAAACGAAAGACCATGTAAAGACAGCCATCAATCACTATCGTAGCTGAAATTCCAAATCCCAAGAGAGTAGCTCAGTCTCAATTGAGCAATCTCCCATAGCATTTGAAGACTGGCACCAACAGTACCCCCAGCAGATGTTACCAGTTTAGAGCCCTCCTTGTCCTGCCATCGTACATTATGTTCCGTCACAAGAAAACGACAGAGCTTTGCTCTGAGAAGAACCTCGACATCATGTGACCAACCTTGCAAATTGAGCTCGTGGTACAGCTTTTCAGCAGCTGACAACGTCATGAGCTTGAATCCACACTGGGTATCCGAAACTCCCAAGTCTCCACAAAGGATCCGCACCGCCGTTCGGAATCCCCATCGCAGGATCACTCGACTTGGAGACACTTGACTATCATCATTATAAATGCGTCGACCTACTACCAATGCTGGCACCGTGAATTGAACGTCTGGGCTACTCGGTTGCATTGTCAGTTTTTGTAGCGCTTTGTACAAGTCATCCAGGCAGGTGATATCAGCACTGGCATCGGCATCAGCAATGAGAACCAGCGAATTGTAGATATCCGTCGTGGAGGAAGTTTGTGCAGATATGTGACGGATCCCCATTGCCAGGGCTGCGCCTTTTCCTTGGTTGCATTCCAATGATATGCAATCCACCGGAATTTTTACATGGGTATCCCTGTCGTTTTTACTGACTTGTGAATGCAACGATTCTGCCATGATCTCCACAACACTCGCAGTGCCATCAGTGGAACCATCGTCTACCACCAAGATTTTACAACGGTTTTGCCACTCTGGACTCGACGACAAAAAGCCGTGATAGAGAGAAAGAGTCTTTCCAATTCGAAGTGACTCATTGAAAGCTGGGAGTACTATAGTTAGTGTACTACTAGTACTGTGATCTGGAGATGTGCCATGTGCATGATGGACTGAAGTCGCTGGCGTTGGATACCGGTACCGGTACCCTGCAGAATTGTCAGGCCTTGAGAGAGTGCCCCACACAAAACCGTGACATGCTAACCAATGGAAGGACCACAGAAGGGTGAGGAAGAACCAACCACTTGTACACCTATACCTCAGATTCATTGCCGATAAACGAGGAACCTTCGGATGGGAAAGAGGCTGGTGGTACCAGGAAAAGAGACTGCATTGATGACAGATGGCTGATGTTCCGCGTGGTTGTGGTTGTGGATCCGGTTCAGCGATCCAGGAAGCTCCCAGTTGCCCGAAACCTGCACCTTAAATCGTGCACTCTCATTTTCTTCTCTGGAGAGATCTTAAAAATTTCAGAAGATGAGATCGCATCACAAGTCACAAGAAAACTCAAGCTGAGAAATCTAGAATGGCAAGGACTTTATTGCTATTCCAACTGTTGATGATAACAACGATCAAGAACATTGCAAGCCTGCTCCCAGCTTTAGCACCAGCGCGGACTATTCGCTTCTTTTCCCGACAACTGTTTCCAAAAAGTTGCATCAGAAACATGTCAGCCTCCGATACCAAAGAGCGCATTGCCTGGATCGTTCGCCCTGCCAAAATTGAAGATGAATCTGCTGTGAATGATCTGCTCATGAACTCGTATGGAAGCTTGTTGGCTGACAAGTACGAGGCTGAATTCCTGAAGAAGTCACTTCCCCTGATTACGAAAGGTGCGTTTCGCATGCAGTACCGTCCGAGTGGGCCGGCAGAAGTTGGATATTATTCCCGTGACGCGGACGAGACGATACCGATTGAGAGACCTGCATCAACCACGAGTCTCACACACCAGCCATCAAAATATCTGTCTTCCCTTTCTACCCATCAGGACGGGAGGAACTTTTGACCTGTGGTACCTGGTACGTGGTAGAGGATCCAAGAGACGGATCCTTGACCGGCTGTGGAGGTTGGACTTTTCGCCAACCAGCCAATACGGAGGGAGGTCTCAAAGTGCCCCACCTAAGACATTTCGCCACTCGTTCAGACGTCACACGAAAGGGAATTGGAAGAGCCATTTGGAATCGGTCTTGGCAAGATATCACCAAGATGTCTCCAAAGGGGGACAAAACGTCATTGGAAGTCTTTAGCACGCTGACTGCCGAGCCCTTCTATGCTTCGGTGGGATTTCAAAAAGTAAAAGAATTGACATTGCCAATAGCCGAAGGGTGTGACTTTCCATGCATTTTGATGCGCCGGGAAGCGTTGTCCTAAGCGAGAAGGAGAAAGACGTTGGAATGGCCCTTCGCGGCGCTCTTCATACATATGCCAACATGCAAGGTAGACTACCGAGTCGGCATGGGTACACGGACAGCAATTGGTACACTGGTATATCTAATTAAGTTGAACTATCTAAACTATGATGTGCTCACTATTGCAACAGTCTAGCTTTGTGGGGTCGTGGCGTGGAAGCTTCAATCGTTGGTTCGGCTCAGTTTGCCTGTTGCCGTCGAATGTATCTCGTGCACGAAAGGTGCGTTTCGCATGTTTGAGCCTCAGGATCGAGTTGGATATTATTCCTGTGACGCGGACGAGACGATACCAACTGAGAGACCTGCATCAGCCATGAGTCGAGTCTCACACACCAGCCATCAAAATATCTGTCTTCCCTTTCTACCCATCAGGACGGGAGGAACTTTTGACCTGTGGTACCTGGTACGTGGTAGAGGATCCAAGAGACGGATCCTTGACCGGCTATGGAGGTTGGACTTTTCGCCAACCAGCCAATACGGTGGGAGGTCTCAAAGTGCCCCACCTGAGACATTTCGCCACTCGTTCAGACGTCACACGAAAGGGAATTGGAAGAGCCATTTGGAATCGGTCTTGGCAAGATATCACCAAGATGTCTCCCGATGGGGACAACACGTCATTGGAAGTCTTTAGCACTCTGACTGCTGAGCCCTTCTATGCTTCGGTGGGATTTAAAAAGATAAAAGAATTGCCATTGCCCATTGCCGAAGGGTGTGACTTTCCATGCATTTTGATGCGCCGGGAAGCGTTGCCCTAAGCGAGAAGGAGAAAGACGTTGGAATGGCCTTTCACTGCGCTCTTCATACATACACCAGCATGCCAGGTAGACTACCGAGTTGTCATGGGTACACGGACAGCAATCGGTCCATACCGGTATATCTAATTAAGTTGAACTATCTAGATTACGATGTGCTCGCTATAGAAACCGTCTATCTTTGTGGGGTCGTGGCGTGGAAGCTTCAATCGTTGGGTCGGCTCAGTTTGCCCGTTGCCATCGATTGTATCTCGTGCTTCAGTTTCATTCAGTTCAAATGTTTTCAGCCGCGCTGTTGTGCCCGTGAGAGCTGTCTTGGAGAGGCATGGATTACTCAGCTTGCGGTGGCACCGACGTATCAACTCCCAAATCCGCGGCGGCCTCACCGCTTCCGGGTTGCTCGTGGTGGGGAATATCCATGCCTTGGAGCAGCGTCGTAACGCTGTCATCCTCTGCGCTGGACGTATTGTCGCGATCGTTGACTGCGGGTATGACAGCCGTTTGGTTGGCATTCGTGTCATTTCCACTCTCTTGCGTCAATTCTGAAACACCGCTGGATGCATTGCTCTGCCCATCCGGTTCGTTCGAGACACCCGAAAACTGTGAATACCCGAGTGAGCCAAGGCACGAGGTTTCCATTCCTTGATCTTCCAAACTCGCAATTAAAGCTTCGGAGTCGTCTAGTATTTTAGCGAGGGCTGCCGCGAAAACATCATGTTTGTCTTTTAGTTCAACGAAATCGTCAACGGCTTTGATGAGAACAGGATTCTCCTCAACTTCGAAGACTTTGAATAGATGAAGCAAACAGGTTTTGGGGTTTGTGGCCGTGGAAAGAGCTCTCATGCACGCTGCAAAGGCGACCTTTTGTTCCTTCTTCGGCAAAAGAAACAGCATTGTGCGAACTATTGGCTCTAGTTCGGCTGTAACGTCTTTGACTGTATGAAACAAACAAGGCGATGGTTGAGAAACCATAGCTGAAGTACGTGCTACGAACCGGCCTTGTCTGATACCGTAATAGAGCGAAGCTGCTGTACGACCTTACCTTCCTCCACATCCTGCATGGATGACATTGCGATTTCCAAATGTTCCGTCATGGTTCAAGCAAGTTTGTAATACAAAAGTTAGAAGAAGAAAAAGAAGCAGGAGCAACGGCGAAGCGAAAAATGGGGAAGGAAGGAGAGAATCGAAGAAACGCTGAAGAATTGAATCATTTTGAAACTCTGCGTTTCAAACAGTAATCAAAATTACCTTGAATGTCACCCTCTTCTGCTGACGAGACACATTGGTGCCTCTTTTGCTTGTATCATCGTCTTCATGAATAGCGGCGGAAGATTCCTCCATGGCGGTACGATGTAGGTAGAAGATCTTGTCTTGAACCCAATAATGTGGGTGACATGGTGTAACTGGAGGGCACTTGAAATACTGGCCACGATGCGGCTTCGAGTAAGTATGTGCCAAAGACTTCCACGGCGCTCCTTCCACGCAGTGGATAGATTCCTAAAGCCTTAGCCCTTTCTCGAGTCGGACCTTCACCCCAACATGACGAAATAATGACGAATGGACAATGAGGCACAGACGACCATGACAGCAGTGCAAGCACCGTGAAACAACAAATAATACAAGACACTTATGCCACCATGTTTCGTAGCACAACGAAGAAACGAAAGACCAAGACTGTGACAAGGTTGCGATCTGACAGCGACAATGAAGGAGAAGAGCAAACGGCAGCTCGCGATGACAAGAAGCAGAAATACAAGGACGATGACAGCAACGGCAAAGCAAGCACCAAACGTGTCAAGGACAAATCCAAGAAAAGCAAAAAGAAGAAAAAGGGGATGGTTGTCAGGTCATTTCAAGTTGGCGGTGGTGATGGTGACGATGGTGGAGAAGCTAGTGGCGCTTTGTTGCATTCAAAACCCAAAAAGCGGAAACGACAGGGCGGCCTGGGCTTTGGTGGAGCTCCCACAGTGAAGGTTCACGACGATGACGACGACTTTGCTACGGCGAATGACAATGACAATCCACAAGATTATGGAAGTTCCTCCTATGGCAGAGAATCCCTGGAAAAGCTTAAACAGCAACAACAATACAAGGCAGTGGCCGAAGATGAAAAGAAAGTATCGGAAGATCACGATGAACCTACCACTACTTCAATACGTGTAGAGAACAAGGAGGATCCCTCACTGGATGGTGATTACGTTCCTCTGGACGGAAGAGAACCAAGCACAATTTTAACAGGTGACGAAGCTTTGGAATTTGACAGTGAAAACTTTGAGAAGCAAACCAAAACACAACGAGCTGCTCAGGACCACTTTTACTCTGTCACGGAAGAATCCAATATCCTAGACTCGGAGGATAATCAACAACAAGCCCAAGAAGCATCAGCATGGGAAGCCGAAATCACACGGCGAGCGGGGGTATCCAGTGGTGGTGGTGACAACAAACAATCAACAAATTCTCTTACTAATACTCCCTCCAGCAGCAGTGCCATGTCGCTTGCCAAACTGAGAAGCCAATTCCAGTCTACGATTGCGCAGCTGGAGACTCAAACGAGTGATACAGAGAGAGCCTGTGAGAGACGTAGAGTCGAGCTCTCTCAAACGGAGGCCGAGCTAGAACGTCAACAGAATGAGTTGAAAGATTCTGGAAAAGCATTGGAAGAGTACCAGCAATTGCGAGAAGACGTCACGTTTTGGGCGGGCGCCTTGAGGGATTTGAAAGCAAAAGTGCAGCCCATTCAAGACGCTTTGATTGATCTAGAGACTGAGATTGCCAGTCCGACAAAACAACAAGATTGGGAGGATGATATGTGCGCTGTCTTGCATCAGGCTGGTCTCTTGGATCAAGTGCTTGGTCGGCAACCGCCTGATTTTGTCTTTGAGGACACGACTTCGTATGTAGATGAATTTGGGAGAGATGTCAAGTCACAGCATGCCATGAACCGAGAAAAGCGGATGCGGAGGCTCATTGAAATCCAACAGAATCACGCACAATCTACCAGCAGTGGCCCTTCGCAAATTTTTATGGATGACTCGGATATCGAGACCTTTCAATTGCGTAGATCTGCTTTGAGAAAGGCGTTGGACGTTGCCCTCGAGGACCTCGAGGAAGAATATACCCGTCTATCTGGGCTTGCAAGTATCTTTCGCAAGTGGGAAAACACATATACAGATGATTACAAGCAGTGTTTTGCGAACTTGAGCCTGGGGGATCTCGCCAGCGTCCTTATCCAAGTCGACATATGCAAGCTTGACGCTCCTGGGGTAGTTGGTTGGCTAGAGGGATTCAGCGCGAGCAGCAGCAAGGGTGAAAGCAACGATAGTTTTGGTTGGTTGAGACAAATGGGCGAAAAAGATGGGGTGCCTTCTGACGAAGTCATTGACCGTGTTGTCGAAAAAGTATACATTCCCATATTCGACAATTTGCTTGGGAAATCCGGATACAATGTTGCCAACCATGCTCAAAGTCGGTCGCTGGGTGCTCTGCACGACCGACTGTCGAAGCTTATTGGGAGCCGCCAACACAAGAAGTTTAGAGCGATAACGCACGAGGTGTTTGACTATATCAAGAAAAGCCTGGATAATGTTGCGCTGGCTGTGTTGAAGAATGTGGAACCACCCAGCTTGGTGGATGGAGATGACCAACAGGAAGGGGAACAACTACGTTTAGCTATGCACGGGGCCACGGATGACCAACTGACGCACGTGACAAGTCTGCTCGTGAACGTTGTCAAGTACTGGGCATCCATTTTGACAAACGAGGAAGGGGGCGCTGATTTCGTCTTGGATTTCATTTCAACAAAATATCTCTTCCTGCTGTCATCGCTGAAGGGACGGACCGAGAAGACAACGGAGGAATTCTCGAAGGTGTGGGTGGCGGTGCAGGATACAAAATGGTTGGAACAGCCAGGGCGAATGCTACAAGCGGCACCTCTCAGAGCCGCAGCGCTAGTTTTTAAGGTCAGCTGAGTCGTCGGTGGTGGCGGCGAATTCTATCTAGCTAAGCAGCACTAGGGCCCTTTACGTTTTCTTCCTGGCAGCCCACTATCTTTTAATCTTCCTAGCTAGCTACAAATCACACATCATCTTTGCTTGCTGCTAGAACGGGGCTCCCAGTCTCTGCTCTTCATTTTGATCGGCAACGCGCTCCAGCTCTTGAGGGGCAACAGAAATACTGAACTCCTCGGTGAGTTCATCCGTCCGCCAGCTGGGGCGGTGGCCACGCCGCGACTTTCGACCTTTCCCACCACCAGCACGCCACAGGGAAGACGGCAACCTCCACAACGATTTCATTGTCTTCTGGATCCGCTTGCTGGTTCGGCGGGGTCGCGAACCGTCCTGCTCCATGACTGTCGCAATCGCCGGTGATGCCCGGACCGGCTCCCTTTCATCCCGGACTCCCAAGTCGTCGGTATGACTATGGCTCAGGTCGCGGCTGCTTTTGTTTGCAACACTGGACTCGGCGTAAGGAACCCAATCCGGGATCGACTCTCGGTTACTGCTGGATCCTCCCTTGGCACTATCTCTTTCCGTATTGGAGTTGTTGTACTTTTTCTGTCGTTCATTGACATAGGCGTAGTGAGACAAGAAACGAGCTGGCAGCAGATGGACGGGAGCCATGTGAGATGAAAACTAATAATTGAAATCGATGGTGTCGCCGCACTAACTGACATACCTATTTCCTCCAAGACAAGCAAGGAATCCGTATCCCTGGGAATTCCCGTGGACTGAAAGAAAGATTCCAGGACAGGGTCCAATGCGTTGCGTCCGAACCGGGCCAGTTGAATCCGAATAGACCGAGCCACGGCCTCCAGAATCTTGGTGTAGTACGCTCCACGATTATCCACCATGAGCATGTGTCGGACGACAGTCTTGTACTGTCGCTTCATCAAAAAGTTTGTGTGTGGATTATCATGATAAGTAATATGGGCAATAAGGTTGGACATGTGAAGCGAGTGGCGCCACCACTGTTGCTGCGACGCGGAACCTGGCCCTGGCTGAATGCACAGAAAGTACTCCTCTTCCTTGCTAGGAATAAAGGTGACTGTCATTTTGACCCAGCTGGAATTGCTGTTGGACGGATGATAATACCGCTGACACAAGGGCTGGCTGGCCCAGACGATACGCCCTCCCTTGTCCCTGAGCCAAGAGGGTCGGCTGTCACCCCCTTCTGCAGTATCACTGTCCTCAACGTCGGGAAGTTTTCTGCTGACAATATCAGGCGTGTTACCTCTTGTGGCGTGTTCCAGCGGATAAGCCACAATATAAAACTGAGCATGTGAGTTCGCCCCGTAGTGCCTCCCTTGCAGCTCCCCCAATCGACAAGACCAACTCCCCGTCAGGGTGACTGAATGAGTGCGATGAGGAAGAAAGGGGATCTTGGGCCCTCGTTTCCACTGCACTGCCGTGGTATCTTGCAGATCATCGTCGTACCATGACTTGTAGGGAATCCTCATCGGCAAGGTCGTCATGGACAGATCGTCGTAGAAGACCTTGCAGGTTCTGGAAAAGCTGATAGCATCCTGAGGCGACAGAAAGGAGGCAATGCGCACTTTCATCACCGCCGGAAGGTCCAGCAACGCGTTGTCCATCTTTCCTTCTTTTTCAAAGAGCAGGTGCCTTTACTATTAGCTGTCGATTACCTGTACCTCTATCCTCGGAGCGGAGAGACGACTCGAATCCTCAGTCGAGAAATGAGGAAATGAATTGGATGGGAATTCAATAGAGCAGCAGCATGAGAACGGAGCAATGCATCGACGGATAATTGTCTGGAAGCACGACTGTAGTAGGCCTCGTGTAGGCCCTGGTAGTTCCGACCTCTACCATCGATAGACTAGTATACTGTAGTACGAAACGGAAATGTCTTTGTGCCAGCGAGGGTCCTGGCATGGAGCAGATTTAAAGATTGGGGCGACTAAAAATGGAGTCATGTTTCTCAAGTTGCAAGACTTTGAGCCTTTAGAGTGTCCACAAAGAGTACTAATACACTCACCGGTTCAGAACAATGTCCAGTGCCAATTTATACCTGTAAAAAGATTAATCATTCGATCATTCCCAATCCCGTCAAGGTTGGCTGTGGGGTTTGAAGCCGCATTGGGGTTGACAACATACATTTTTTTTAACATGCGGAACGTTGTGGAGCGTGAGGAGGTTTGGTAGACTACTAGCTAGTAGTAGTCTGCTAGTAGCTAGTAGCTTCGGAACGAATGGATTGGCTAGCTAGCTAGTAGAGGGGTAGAGAAATGAATGAATGAAAGCAATGGCGACTCTTAGTACAACTTATTTAAAAGCTATCATGCTTGTCTCACTGCGATCAAATGAGTTGAGGTAGCTACTTCACACGCCATGCAGGTTGGTAATTAACATGTAGATCTTCAACCGAACAAATTTTCCTTGTGGCAAAACTGTAATAATCACATGATACACTTCTCTTTAGAGGAACTCTGCAGGAATACCGCTGCCACGCTGGCTGTGGTGGGGAGATGGATTCGCAAGGGCAACACGAAGGTCCACCATGTCCATGCAGCCAGGCCAGACTTCCCTCCAAGCGGCACGCATTTCATGGCTGAGTTCCGGGTGGTTGTTCTCAAAGTCAACGGGGCTGGCAGCAAAGCAGACTAGAACAGCATTCACAGAGCTGCTGACAATGCCAAAGAGCACGCTTGTCACGGCGAGACCAAGGACAAAGCCGACACTGTGGGTTGCAAAAGACAGGATAGTGAGCGCACGGTTGACAAACGTACTCGAGAACGCCCAAACGGTGGAACTAGCAACTTACACAAACGAGACAGGTCCGGGCTGGCCAATGCTGCTGATGTGAAGGCCTTCAAAACTGTCAATCAACTGTGCGAATAGTCCTGTGGCACCTCCAACGACCAAGCTCATCATGAGCAAGAGGTTTGGTACTAGATCATCCGTGACAATCATCGTCCAACCACGAGTCCTGAAGAGTTCAGCCGCATTGCTGCCACCATCCATAAAGCCATAGCCATAAATGCCAATGTACGTAAAGGCCCAAGCATTGAAGTGATTCGCTAGGCCATCCACGCACGAACTCACGCATGTTTGAATAAAGTTCATGCATTCATGCACGCACATGAGCGCTGAATCGCTGTCCGCATTGGGACGAAACAGGGCAGAAAGTTGTCGAATTAGTCTGACTGGACCAACCAGCAAACTTCCAAAGCAAATCGATCCAAGTGAGTAGAAGACAGCCTTCGAGAAGCAGGCAAAAACGTTTGTTTCCGTTGGGTGATACCACCATGCTGCAATCACACTTGCAGTTGTGACTTGGACAACATTCTGGACGGGAAAATTGGAACGCGTAAGATAGGATTCACATTTGAAGGAACTGCCACCAGACGGGGCGCTATTGCCTAAACTCACCTGAATGACATTGTACGTCCAGTAAAAGGAAACCCCCAGCATCGTGTACACAAAGACTTGCATATTGTGGGATAACACCAAGTCTTCTTCTTGGATGGCATCATAAACACCGACCACCACAAAGAGGAAGTAGACACAATACAGTAGACAGACAACTTGGAATGAAGCGGCAACTGCAAGGGTTCCCAAGTTTGCCTTCACACCGGTCAGTGCCGTCGTCAAGTTGGCTGAACAGAAAGGAATCCTATCCCAGACAATGAATGCGTAGGCTACTGACAAGGCGAGGGCAACGAATCCAGTGATGGGGACCACATTCTTTGGACTCAAACCTGTTCCAACGGTACCCCAGACAAAACTGATCGTAATGGCCAAGCACAGGGCGACTTGAACGAATCGTCGTGCAATGGCAGCCATGAGTCCAAACACCAACATGGAAAAGGCTATTCCAAAGAGACCGCTCATACCAGCAACGTAAACCATGTTGGAATAATACAATTTCACTTCATCTCCATTCTCCGAGAGGGCATCATCATTTTGAAAGGCGTCATGCCCGTAGGTGTTTCCCAAGAACACAATGCCAACAATGTGAAAGAGGAACAAGAGAAGGAAAACCATGTCACGACAGACGAGAGGTTGTTCGATTCCTTTGACTTCCTCCATGAAGAGTTGTGCAGATTGCTGACGCATGTGCCTCTTTCGGGACGATTCTCGGTGACGAGATTGTCCGTTCTTATGAGCAATAAAGACTGCTTCTCCGCCTCCCGTTCCAGGGACTCCACTTTTAACAGGGAAGTCAGGCATGCCCATGGAATTGTTTACATTAATGGATCCATATCCAACAGAAGGAGAGGTGGAAACCATGGGAGAGAAGGACACCTTTGAGGATTGTCGGAGAGACCTAGGTGTTCCCTGTGGAGAAGTCTGGAATGTTTTGCGAGCAGAAGGGGAATCGGGAGTTCCACGGAAGCTGGAAACGAGCTTGGTGAATTCGTTACGGGGAGAGAATTGCTGACTACGGGGAGGAGGAGGTGGTGGAGGTAGTTCCCCAAAGGCAGGCATACCAGGGTAGGCGCTTCCAGCAGAGTATGTACGGCGATGGCTTCCTGAAGCCGACTTGCGCTTACGGCGAGTAGAAGAACGGCCAATGCTCTCGGTGACGGAACCTCCGAGCAAAGCATTCATTTCTCCATGAGGATCATTCAAGAAGGGTACCGCGGGTGAAGGAGCTCCCATTCCATTATAATAATGGAAGCTGCCTCCGGGAGAAGGAGGGGCCATGGGAGGGAAATTTCCTGACCAGGATTCGGCACGTCGGTGGCGGTCGGGTGGCATTTGATACTGATGTTGCTGCATGGGATCAATCACCCCTACATTCACAGGGGACATATTGTACGGGGAAGGTGCCCTGGGAGGAGGCCCAACAATGGTGGATGGTACTACCATGGATCCATTCGACCCAAACTGGATCTGAGTTGGTGGATCGCGGCTCTTGAAGCTGGCATCTTCTCCAACACTGCCTCCGCGGGAACGTCCCGAGTGAGGGTTGGTGGGATCCTGTTGGAAGCCATTAACATTGTTAATGGAACGAGGACTGGTCCTTAACGGCTCCATCCCTGATTTACCGTTGCTGATATTAGAGTCAACAGACGGTCCACTGGTACTGGAAGCAGCCGTAGAACGATCGCTGGGGGCAGGTTTAGTGGTACCGACGTTGATGGTATCCAATAACGTGGGAGGTTGACGCTGATACTTGACAGATGTGTTCGGAAGGGGTTCACTGTTGCTACTATCCGACATGCAAGGGCTGGTATTCGTCCTCGTCACACTTCCTGAGTCTCTTGGACCTTCCTGATCTTCCGGTGCTCGAGCTAAGGGGGATCCAGGTGTCGCCGCACCACTGTGGGTATCGATTGTCATGAGAAATGTTTTCTCGTGATCTCCAGCTGCTGAAGCTCTAAACTTGATGGGCTGTACTGTACACTACGGTTCGGGTACATCCAAAATTGTGTCACATGTGTGATGCCATTGGAGTAGCGCAAAGGTATCCGAGCAAGCCAGCAACCCTTTTTTAATCGTTTTGAATTGAATTAATTAATGGACGAATTTGGCAAACTATTGCTTCGATAACCAGACGACGTCATTGTCGGAGCTTTGGACACATCTTCGAGCAGTTGCGTGCGCAGCTTCCTCAATCGTTGCTCGAAGCGAGCTCTTTCGTCGTCTTCCGCAAGAATCAACAAAGGAAAAGTGTCTACACGACCCTCTCTGCGGGAGCCAATGCAATGTCTAAAGCAATCTTTTTGGAGGACGAAAGAGCTTAGAAGATACTCTTGCAAGCAGCTTGCATACGCGGAAGTCTTCCGAGCATGCATTTGTACGAGGGGGGATATACCTAATGTAGCGATTGTTACGAGTCCCATTCCGTGAAAACGACAGCAATGCAAGGGAAATTCCTCCGAATTGCTCGGTAGTAGTTAGAGTACCGCACGGAATGATATCCCCTTGGTTTACGATGCAACCTGGAACGTGCGTTCAATGGACTGACATGAAAGTCAACCCATGCAGCGACAGAATCTAGTTCGCACTCATGCATTGGTATAGTGGTAGGACTGACTGGCGCTGCAAGCTGCAAGTTTGGGGTCGTGCAACTACCAGAGTAAAAGTAAGTAAGATGCAGTATCCGGTGCCAGTACAAAAGTGAAATTCGATCCAACCTCCATACCGGTACCGTACGGTAGCGGTACGGGGCAGGGAAAAGGCTCCACAGGTCTTGTCGTAGATTTGATGCTACCGGTATGGTCTAGCCGCTCGTTGCCATTCACTTCATTCCACTCCTTTGCAGTGTATATTCAATCGTCCCGCGTCGTTCTGCATGTAATTCATTTTCCGATAAAGTATTGACCTGTAGCCAACCACTTCACCTCCCGGAGCCACGGCTGTTGGTGCGACGCCCACCTCGACCACCACGACCGCGGCCATGACCCCTTCCTGGTCCCCCGCGTTGACCGGTCCCCCCTCTCTGGTTGGGGCGGACTTGCGGCAGAGAGAAGTCAAAATCTTGCCGAAAACAAGCATCACACAAAACGCAAGCAATCGTTTCCCTGTCGTACGGAGGAGGAACACTTCCCGACTTCCATGTGAACTTCAGCTTGCGGACCGATCTCCCATTGGTTGAACACGAAGCGCAAGAAGCCTCCTCCACTTCGACTTTAGACGCTGCGTTGGGCAACCAAATAACGTACGTGCATTTTGGAGTTTTGGAGTAGTTGCTGCAGGAGAGCATTGTCGAACCTCGTTGTGTTGATTTCAGCCTTACTTGTCCGACAGCATTCTGATTGTTCTGTCGGCTGGCTTGGGAGCAGAATGGACAAGGGAAAACATCTATCCCAGATCCTGATGTTCCGGCAGCCAGTGAACACGTAGGGTGGGTGCATTGGAAGCAGCGAAAGCCGCTATCATTCGAGATACCACCGTGTTCGATTGGAGGATCATGGTAGCACTTGGGGCACATGGAGTAACCGTTTCCGTCGTATCCCTCTCCTTTCTGTATGTCGATGACTTGATACGAACAGATGGGGCATTTGAACGGTGGACCTCCATTCTCCCCCTGCCTCTTCGGCACCACTTTCCCTCGAACCGGAAGCCGAAACCCTTCGGAGCATGTCTGGCAATACAACAACAGGGGTCTTCGCGTTACACGATTGTTGTTACGGTTGTTATTGTTGTTGTTTTGATGATTGTTGCTATTCTCCTGCTTCAGACTCATCATGGAACTGCAGGTACCACAGAGACTGAACTGCTGCTTCACAACCTGTGAAGCCTGGTTCCCGACCCCAACACGCGAGAAACGACGCCCCACGGCAGCATCAAGTTTGGTGGCTTCCGCACGAGCTGCCATGAATATCTGACGCATTTTCTCCAGGATCCGATTCATAATTTCCGCCTTTTGCTTGGTCCCTGCAGCAACTTGGTTGCATTCGGCCTCGACCTGCAACAACGAATACAACCATGCGTGAATTAGGACAGCGAGCTGCAAAAACTTCTGCGTTGACTAACTCGGTGATGCGTACCTCGCGTCGTAAATCCGGTTTGTTCAGCTGATATCCCATGCTGCGTTCCAAGAGAAAACGGTGAGAACCTTTCAATTCCTAGTGTTTGCCAGAGGCATCTACGTGCAAATAAGGGATCAACTTACCTGTTGTATCCTTCAACGAGGGCAATGCCGAGCGGCGACGGCAAGAACCGCTGACCAGCGTCTTTCGTGGCATACTGGCGTTCCTGAATTGTAGTGATGTGCGCCGCAATGGTCGCATCGGTCCCAATACCGTGACGATCCATGAGCGCAATGAGCTCTGCTTCCGTCAAGGGCTGGGGAGGAGTCGTCTCTCCTTCCTTCATGGTCAACGTAGAAGGTACAATGCGGCTTCCTATTTCAAGTTCTGGAAGTTCTCCTTGCTGCGTTGACCACCGTTCATGAGGGTGGTAGACCTCGAGCCAATTGCGTTCCACAATCATCAGCCCTTTGGCTGTAAAATCCTCCGTGCCAATGCGGACAATGAGTTGAGTCTCCTTTCCAACGGCGTCCTTGGAACAGCATGCAAGATAGTGTTGGACGATCAGTTTGTAAATGCTGCGTTGCGTCGTATCCGGGATAGTTGCGGGATCCACAGCTTTGCAAGGCGTAATGGGAGGATGCGCCTTGTCGTCGTTTCGTCCGGCCCTAGGATTTTGAAAGTGTTGGCCATTGTTCGAGAGCAATTTGGATGCATACTGCCGGAATTCTCCGCCATTGCCGGCAAGATCTTGGATCAGGGGCCTGTGTTGAAACTCTTGTCGAAAGACCTCTGTTTCGGTACGCGGATAGCTAATGTAGCCGTTATTGTAAAGGCTCTCCGCCGCCGCCATGAGTGTCTCACTGCCAATGCGCAGGAATCGGGAAGCTCGTTTCTGCAGTTCCACTGTCGACAAGGGTACGGGTCGCCATTTCTTTTTCTGGGTGCCCCTCAGATCAATGACAGTAGCCTGATCTCTGGCATCCATACAGGACTCGTAGAGCACAAGTGTCATGAGTCGGTCATATAAACGACCTCTCTTCCAGGTGAATTCTATGGATCTTGTCCGCCCTGGTTGTGGATTGACGTTTTGATCATTGTCAGCGCCTGGGACCGGCACGGTAATACGGAGCTCTATGGACCAGAATTTTTCAGAAACAAAGGTTTCCATGCGAGCCCACCTCTCGACAATGAAACCCAGCGTAGGAAATTGGCAGGGGCCATAGGAGACAACTTGTTCAGAAAACCCCGAAAACTTTTTCTGGAGTCGAAGAGTTTGAAAGCGAGAGAATGCCGCCCCTACCCTCAAATCCAGCTCACTTCTGGCGTTGACAGCATCCACAAAATTTTCGTTGACTCTTCCCAGCGATTGAAGGGCCCTTTGAATTTCGCCTGGCAGCACTGTAGAGAATTTGGGACGGAACATGTGCGGGCTAAGTCGTTGATTCTTTTCTAGACAAACTGTCCTCACTTCATCAGCAATCGCTTCTCCCTCCCGATCACAATCCAGCCACAGAATCACAGCCTGACAATTCCGTGCCAAATTTCCCAACATTCGTTGCAGTGCATTCATGTCTCCCTTGTAGGAAATTTCCAATGGAGCATGAAACAATTCCCCAGGATCACAGGCACTCCAGCCAAAGCCATCCGGAAAATCGCGATTGGACAAATGCCCGCGAACTGATGTTGTGATCATTGTGTGCGCTTTGATAGGCGCATTGCTTCGCTGTCCATTTCCTTGGCGAAAAATCTCTGGAAAGCGAACGTTGTGATGCTCGAAAATCTGTGCCGCCTCTCGTCTCGGTCCTCCGTGTTGTCGACTGCCTTGCATCCCACTAAACACTCCTGCCAAAGCTCGAGCCACGCTGGGCTTTTCCGCCACATTGAGGACGCGGATCTCTCGGTTGCTCATTTATTATTTTGTTGTGCGGAAGGAGTTGAATGTGAAAATGAAATTCAGCAGCATGTTCTTTTTCTTTCTCTGGCGGTAGAAAATGCTGAATTTGAGGGCCAGAATTTGATTGATATTCAATGATTCTTCCACGTTCTTGCTGCATTGATGTTTGCGTCTGTGGCAGCTCCTGCTTCCATCTATCTAACGCCTCGAACAAACGCGTCTTCTATCCTCAATCAGCAAGCTGAGATACAGCGTACTACTAGCTAGATAAAAGTGATTCGCTGTCAATGGGCACTTTTCGGATTGTCATTGGTTCTTTCTCATTACTGCGTCCAGAGACAGCTTGAATTAATTGGAAATTATTCCAAATCAATAATGGTCAAAAATGGAGAAAAGGCATCAAAATGTTCAATTTGTTGGCCCAGCACAAATTTATCAATTGCAGCAAAAAGTGAGTATACTAAATAATTTACTGGGATTGACAGAGTCAACCCATCACGCCACAGTTCTGTTGCCTCGTGCACCAGGAGTGGGTTGAGATGCCGGTAGAACAGAATTAGGGCCTGGACAAGGACCTAGGAGGAGTGGGGCCTGGAGATGGACCTCAAGTGGGGCCGAAATGGACCTCAAGTGGGGCCTGGAGATGGACCAGGAGTGTGGGCTTGGCTGGAGATAGGACAGGATAGATCCAGGTGCGGAGTCAGGAGTGGGGCCTGGAGTGTGGACTCATTTTGACAAGGGGTGGGCCCAGTGGAGATGGCCCCTGGGTACGATGTACAAGTACTGGCCAAAACTGGGCTGGTGGGTAGCGCTACTCTTATGTTTGTGGTGGATGCAACGGTTGAATCATTCTCTTTGTGGAGTGCCGTGGTAATGAGTGTCATAGAAATGCCTTTTTCGCTACTGGTATTGTGAGAGGCTACAATTCTTCAGCAACTGGCATGTTTGTTTTTGCTAGCTAGCTGGTTGTTTGGGTTCTTGCGCTCAAATCTAGCCCCTCTCGGATTTCTTGAAGCATTACAGAGTTGGAGGGCATTGGCTTGGACCAACAACCGTCGGCCCCCGCCGCTTCAAACTCTTTTTCAATATCGTTTCCCGAACAGCCAATGATCATACACTTCAGTCCCATTCGGCGCAAGGCAATGACGGTATCCGTTCCCAACATCACACCGCCAGCTGATTCCATATACTGATCCACGATCACCAGTTGAAACTGATGATCTCCTGACTCCACCAATTCCACGGCAGCCTCCCCGGTGGCTGCCTCGATGATCTTGGCGTTGGGCATTACTCCTTTCCGGAGCCTCTTTGTTAGCATGAGCCGATTCATCATGATATCGTCTACCAAAAGAATCGATATCTCCTCTTCAATCATCTCTGGCTCTATTATTGGTGGGGCATGCTCTGTACCTTTTGATTGAGTAGCAACACTCGTAGAAGTGCACGACACCAGAGGGAGGAGTATGACACAAGTGGTGCCTTGTTTCACTCGGGGATCAGATTCGAAATAAATATCGCCCTCCAGAGCATCTACGATTTGTTTGCAGATGCATAATCCCAAGCCCGAGCCGGGAGCACCACCTCTCCGTACGAACCTTTCGAACAGGTGAGCTTGATCCTCTATTGGAATGCCAGGGCCTGTAAGACAAGGGACAATACGTGAGACAGCAGCATGGTAGCATCATTACGCGCGTTTTCCCATCCTACCTGTGTCTTTGCACTCAAATCGAACTCGTCCACTTTCCTCGTCCCAGCACACTGACAGCACCACTGATCCCGACAAACAATACTTCAGAGCATTGCTAGTCACGTTGTTCAAGACTTGCAGTATGCGATGGAAGTCTCCTGAAACCGTGTTTTTGTTGGGGTCAACATCAACCACGTATTTGAAATCAACGCCCTTGGGTACTTTAGGCGCCAACATAGAATGGGTCTCCATGATGACTTGGTTCAACTCAAAGGGGCATGAATAAAATTCCATCTTTCCTTCTTCCAGTTGCCGCACGTCGCATAGATTGTTTAGAATCCGCCCCATAAAGCCTGTACAGGATTTCATGCCTTGGGTAAGCTCTTTAATTTCCACGGGGTCGTCGAATGGCATGACCAAAAGTGCAGACTCGATGGCCGAAAGAGGGTTTCTGAGTTCATGAGCAAAATAAGCCGTCATCTTTCGCTCTGTCTCAACTCGAGCCTCCTGGATCCGAGTCTGGGCAAGCATATCTTGCTTTTGTACCAGCACTGTGAAGACCAAGCCTGTCACAACGAGACTCAGCAAAATGACGCAAGGAATCATCCAAGCGCGGATGGACGATTGTCGGCTTGGATACTGGACGGTAATGTGCCATTCGGAAATATCAGTGGCAACGGTGAGAGCCACAGTGCGGTATGTCGGCGCGGCGACATTTTGGAAACCTGGGGATCGGGCCAGAGCGGTGCTTTCGGCTTCAGTTCCATACAATCTCTCGTTACGAGTCAGCAGGAATTCCCGTCCTGAACTGTGAAAGCGCTGGTACATGCCAGATTCTTTCACGACTTGCAACCAATCGATAGTGGCGACAACCATGCCCCAACGATCCACCTCTTCTCCCGTGGTCGGCAATACAATCGGACGGCCGGGCATTGGAACGGCAAGCCTCAGGACAATGGCCTTTTTTACAGCGTTGTGGCAACTCCCGTGATCAATGCAGTGCCTCAAAGTGATCGGTCCTGCAATGACTAGATTATCCGATCTCAGAGTTTTTTCTGCGTGGTAGCGAAGTTTGACGTCCTGAAGCATATCAAGCCCCAACTGCGCTGTAGCATTCATAATAACGTCGGGCCGCTCCGGATGGGTGTACACGCGAGGATGGACGAAGCATACCACTGCTTGTGGGTGGAAGTAAAGCTGGAGGAGAACCCGGGGCATCTTGGCGTTGGCCTTGATTGTAGAGGCAATCTCGTTGTACCTTTGAATGTTGGTTGGGTCTGAACACGGTGAGCCGGTCAGGTTGCGATGAGATAATTCCTGTCCAGGGGCTGGAGGGATAAAGGGAAGGCTGTTGTTTCCCAGGGAAGGCCCGATCAAATCTGGCAGATCACGGAAGAGGGGAATTTCTGTGGCAAACTGAGCAAGGGAGAAAAGAGGCATCATGGCCTTGTATTCAAGTGCATTCACAAAGTAGTCGGCCGTTTCATTGGCAAGATCTTGGGCGTCTCGAAAGTCGTCTTGCTCCCATTGGCTCAAGTAGAGCTCAGCTGTCAAAAGCCCTGCCGCCATCACCACCAAAAAGACCAGCCCACTGACTAGCAGGCTGGTCCGATGGACACTGAGATAGTTGAAGAGGCCCCGGATGCGCATGCACGCAGGAGAAGCATGTTCCTTCTTCATTGCCGACGCAACATCCTCTTGGTTATCTTCGCTATCCGACCGCAAGCTCGCCCCTGTGTTAATCCTTCGGCTTCTAAAAGAGTTGCCTAACATGGCTTTCTCGCTAGCTAATAGTAGCCTAACGATAATAACTCTCCTTTCGATGTGCTACCGTACGAGGCTCTCAGTTTCTCATGAATCGAATCCAAAGCAGAGAAGCTGCAGATACTAGCAGCTGTCAGTTAGTTGCCACAACAAATAATGGCAACGTGCTGTGAGCTGTGAGCTGTGAGATGTGCTTGTGCTCTTCACTCTTTTGCTGTTTCGCTGGGACTCGATCAGGCGGTCCGGAACAGTTTTGCAGTGGTCGGATCGTCGGATCTGTTCGACCCAGTCTCCTCTGTGGTAAGGAGGAAGAATTACCTGAAGTACCGGGTAAGGAAGAACAGCTTCAGCCTTATTAGGTAATGACCGCGAGACTCGGTCATTCTATTTCGATAAATCTTTCGCAGAACATGGAACGAAGGGGAAAGAAGGTACCAGGTACAGTACGAGTACTCTAGAGTACCAATTTTCCGCCGTAATATTTCCAGACATAAAAATCAAAGATTGGGGTAAAATTACTTAAAGGACACTCACCTGTTCTCGGTGACTAATTCTTGTGCTAGAGGTTTTTAAAATAAAGGCTTCTCCTGGACCTCTGTGGAAACGTCATTCGTGGCAACATACTTAAGAGACGATACACCGAGGAATAGGAGACGATCAAAATGATTTATGAGACGAAAGCAATCGTCTCCTATATTTAGGAGACGATTCAGTAGGAGACATTACAATTAGGAGACGAAAATTTTGAAATAGGAGACAATCCGAAAGATTTAGGAGACGATACCATACAGTTTACATGGTACACTTAGGAGACGATCCGTTGAGAATAGGAGACGATCCGTTGAAAATAGGAGACGTTTTAAGAGGAGACAAAAGATTAAAGAGACGATCCGTTTCGTCTCCTATTTTTAGGAGACGAAATCCATTAAATAGGAGACGATCAAAAGGATTTAAGAGACGAAAGTAGCACGACTCGAGTTTCCACAGAGGTCCTGGGTCGGTTTTATTAAAAAATGATACAACCGTTTGGTACCGGTACCGGTGCCTGTGGTGCTATGCGGTACTAGTAGAGCCTCTTGGTGTCAATTCTATTTTCTATAGTAAAATAGTATGCATATAATAAAGAGAGGGGAAGGGGATGGTGGCAGCCATGAGAAGAGGCTCTGTTGGTCCGTTGGTCTCATGATCCCCCTCTGTTGGATCAGCCTTGATTGCATTGTGAGGCCGAAGGCCCAACTGCGATGCTGCAACTACTGTACCGATCACTGCAACAATTGTGTCACTCTAGTAGGAGTTAACTGGGGACACTACGACTTCACATACACTACTAGTAGAAGATCTCAAAGCTGACTTCTACTGTATCATAATTCATAATTGTTTTCGAGCGACGACCGCAGCCTCTATACTGACTATCTCACGGGTGGAAAATGGTGGGATATTCTGCTGTGGAACCAGCCATCCTAACTGGGATGCAAGTACAAGCCCGCAGGAGTGCACGAAAGGTGTCGCCACGGAAGAAATGAGAAGTTAGATAGTATCAAATTCCAACAGGAAGAAAGATATCCTAAGCCCAAGAGGTACGGCCTTAGCCTCACTACCGGTAGCTAGCCTCACTATCAGAGCCATCGAAATAGGCTACTAAACCAGAAGTGCTACGGAACGAAAGCACGACTCATCACTCTATCAATTTCATTTGTAGGCCCCGAAGGCTGAGCTTCCGATTGTCCTACAGCCATGAACTAAGACTATTTTAAAATTTCAGCCAACTCTGTGAATCACAGGTGGGCCGAACTGTGATTTCCACAGCTCTGCTCGAGGTCTGTTCCTCGTGAAGCAGACCACAGCCGCAAGGAGCCAGTCAATCGATCAAGTGACTAGACTTACCGGTACCAGGTACCAGCCAGCATCATCGGATACTACTCCTACTACTACTACTTCTACATGTACTGCTGGATGGCGGCACACCCTCACAGACCACGGGACCAGGGGCGTAGAGCAGCTGTAAACTTTGTGAACAGTGACAGAAAACAATTTCCCTCCTCTCCCTGACGAAAAATTAGCCTTCGAGCCCAAAACCGGAGAAAAGAGGGTGGGGGACCAATAGACTTCTAGAGCTAGCTAGGTAGTACCGATACACAACTCCCATTACACAACGTCTACACACACACAAAAGTCCAAGCAGCTGGTACGATACATGTACATGTAGTACCAATAGATTGTGGCCATTTGCCCCTGCGTCGGTGGTCCGTGGGCTGATCTGACTTGGGACAGCTCCTGGGACATGGACTGTTAGCTTTAGGTTCAGCTACCTGAAGGCGTTCGCGGGGGCTTGCACTGATTGACCTCTGGCCCGCTTCTTTTCCGAAGCTATTACCTCCACCGCTGCCTGGTGGCTCTTCTCGAAATGGAAACGGGTGGCAAGCTCGCACCGTCTGTCCTTCAAAAGAGGTTGGCAAACTCTATGTCTCCAGTTGTCATCATGATTGCCATTTTCACCTCCGAAGTCACAGTGTTGGCCTGTGAATGCGGGAATTGCTGGAAGGGTGGACATCCTTAGTCAGGAATGGCATCTTTGGAGCAAGAGAAGTAATGAGGCAATGGAGCAATGATCTCTAGAATGACAGTCACCCAATTGTTTGCTTGGTTTGACAGTTGTCTGTTGAGGTGATCAGCAAGAGGTGCGCGGTAAAGCCACCTCAACACTGCCACTCTACTACTGGTATCTGGAAGCAAGCAACAATCCCACACAGCTGGTGGCTGTGCTGTTCAGAACTCTCTGCCCACTCACAGCAACAACAGACACACCATGCATTATTACCTATCAGTCGTTTGGCTTGTTTGGTTGGAGCTCCTTGGTTTCCAAGTGGCAGATAAGATATCAAGCCTTAGTTGTCAGTTTTACTTCAAAGCAAAAGTCCAGCTGCGAAGGTCTCGGTGAGACGTCCCAGAGGTCATCAGTGGAGGAGTGGAGGGCGTTGCTGCTTGCAATTGTGCCAGCTAGTGGCTGCTAGCTACTGTAGCACGTTAGCACGTTCCTCGGTTTCGCAGATGCCTCCTGAGTCGAGTCGAGTCAAGTCGAGTCTAGAAAGTCGTCACTCGAGGCAGAATTGATGGCAAGCTTCAAGGTCCGTGGGATGTCGGACGCTTTGATTGCATGTATGTCTTTGGTGTGTCTGCAGCTGGTTCATACAATATACTTTTACGATATGGTATCGGTACACAATAATGCTACTGTATTTTTTAAATTTTGTTTACTAGTAATCCACGCAGAGCACATTTCCGGAAGAACCCCGTTTTAGTCAGCTGAATTTGCAAATGCCAAATGCCACCTGAACAATCTATCTCTTCACTCTACTCGAGTACATGCCTACTAGCTAGCTAGCAGCTACCTGGTAGTAGCTACTCTATCGTAGCTAGTAGCCAGCTAGGCATGCGGAAGCACCAGACTGACATGATGGGCTGCTGCCATCAGATATCCAGCCACTAAAGTTGAGTTCCCGCAGTGCTTAGTATCTAGACTACTGAGTACTAGTAGTTGCTATTGCAAATGCCAGCCACCTTGGGCAGGTAGTAAAGTTTCGTCCTTTGGCTGGTGCTGCTTGGTTCCAAGTGGCAACTACCTAAGCTTGAGCGATAATTACAGCTTACTCAGGCTCCATGTGCACGGGTGGGCCCAGGCATTCCTTCTCTGTAACATCTGGCTACCTAGAACATCACCGCATAGCCCCAGACCTCCTGTGGACCTATCCGAGACTACCGATTCCTCCTGCAAACCACCTGCTTCGTCAGATGTTGATGCTTCAGCTTTCTAGATTGGTGGTACCGCTTCAGGCACGTTCCTCGAGGTATTGCCCGCTGCGTCGTCAGGGTAAAAAGAAAAGAGCAGCATCTTGATGGGAACCTTCAAGCCGGAGTTGAAGGCGTTGAAGGTTGCGTCAGTAGAACGTTGGTTGCGATGTTGCAAAGCACGTCTTTTGCTGTTTGACAGCTGGCAATTACTCAGCAATGGAAAGTGGCCAATGATAGCAGCTGAGTAATTGCTGACATCATCAAAGGATGACGCGTTGAATTGGCTTGAGGGAAAGTCATTGCTGCACAACCAGTGAGATTCTCCGCCTGCTCGGGCCTTTGTTTACTCCCGCGCCTTTGCTCCGAGCCTACATGCAATTACGTGAAAAACAGTAGGGATGCACGTTTCACTCGACTGCTTTCGAAGAAATTCGGATCTGTTCTTCCAGTGTCTCTGCTTCCGCCCCTCCTAAACCAGCGTCGCAGTGTTCCGGCGTCAGCTCGCCGGTCACAACAGCGGAAGGGAATCTCACAAAAACAACCAGAACCCCAACAACACCTTACTCATCGTACCATCAGCCCTCCAAGTCAGAATAACAAGTGGAGGTGTCAAGGAATAGCAACAGAGACAGCATCAGCATAAGACGAGAATCGAATCAGCCAATCAATACAGTAGCTACCTCTCAAACAACAGGACAATCCGGCAAATGGGATTTGTGACGTCAGTTTCACGACTGAATAGAACTGTCGTCAAACGTGCTTTAAATATGATTTAAGCGACAGTTTAGGCGACCGTTGAAAAATAGGCGACAGTTTAGGCAACAGCTAGGATTTAGGCAACCGTTACTAGTATTTAAAGGGTTGTTTCTCGAAGCATTAGGCAACAGTTTAGGCAATTGCCTAAAAATAGGAAACAATGTAGGCAATCGCCTAGATTTAAGCTACTAACTGTTGCTTAATTCTTTGTGCAACCTTTCAGTCGTGATTCATAATTAGCTTGGGCACTAATTGCCGGATCGTCCAGGATGGGCCCCATAAATCAAACAACAGACAAGAACAACTCAACAAAAGCAACAATGCTAGACTCTTATCGCGTAGGCAATGCTGGAGCCATCAAACTCATTGGTACTCCTCATGACCATGATGGTGAGTTTTCTCCGTGTCTTTGGCGAGGTAGTTCGCTGGATAACAGCGGCAATGCCTCGTCAAGTCATTGATTGACCAATGTCGATGACCATGATGTTCCCAACGCCAGGTTCTCACTTGAAACTCCACTTGCTTTTTTGTCTTTCTTTCCGCAGTTCTTAGTGGCCGAGGAGGAGCCATCAATGCCCACAGTGGCAACCAACGCTTCCGAGAATGGGTCCGAGTGAGGAAGGAACGCTACAATCTCGCTCGGACAAAGGCAGAAAAGGCATCCGTTGCCAATGAGGTAATGGACCTGGTAAAGTCGCTGAACCCACCAGGCCGTTTCCTGCAGAGAGACCAGTCATCCGTCATGGGTGGAACTGCATGGTGGGTCGAATGCGACGAAGTCAAAGCCATGGCCAAAACTTCTCAAGCACTTCGAGAAGGAGCACCCACCATTCGAGCGGCACACAAAGATGAACTACAAGATGCCAAGAAGAGAACACGAAGGAACAATAAGAAGAATACAAACCACACAACAGCACACCCGACTACTGCTGTGGGCAGTAAGCGCAGCCACCAAACCATGCAACAAAGCCAGCCACCAGTGGTTGTCCTATCGTTGCCCACAACTGCTGCGTCCGTGTCTCCCCCTCCTGTCACGCTGTCCGTGTCACCAAACACAGCCATTGAACAGCTAAGGGCCAATGTAGAGGCCGCCAGGCATGACAACAGCAACAATACGCCTCCAACAACAATGTCTTACATCCCAGCACTGGCATCTCCTCCGGCTGTTCCTCTGCCTGGGTCCTCTCCCTTCATTGTTCCTCCCATCAAGCGATCGCGCCTTTCGGAGATGCTCTACCTTCCCCCTTCCGAGCAGCCACCCCAACCGCACATTGTCAAGCCAGATGACACTCCAGAGATTGCTCCCCTCCCATCCCCTCTTCCACTCAGTGCTATCCCTGACCTAGAGTTTGTCGAACGCTTCCCCATGCCAGCAATCCCCAAACGCGAGTGCAGCATTCGCCGGACTAATTCGCTTGCCCTCAGTGATATTGGCAGTGGTGATAGCTGGGGTGAGATTGAATTCGTCAATCCATTTGAAGGAGATGACTCCAGCTTGCCTCCATTTTCGCCTTTCCCAGAGCGGGGTGGCTGTGGAAGCGGAAGGAGCAGCTTTGGCGAAACCAAGTCGGTAACATCCGAGCTCTCTGACTTGGCCGATGCCAACTGTCTTGCACCTGCAAGTGCCATGGCGGACAGTGAATTTGGAGAAGCCATGAAGGATGTCATTGATGCCGTTCACCCCGGTTTGGCATCGCCTGGAACCGATGAACCCATTCCAACTCATCTATACCCCTACACTCCTCGCACTGGAGTCAACGGTAGCAGCAACCCTCAACTCATTTGCTAAGCAAGCTACAGCACCGATTCGATTGAATTGAATTCCGAACAGCGTCAATGGCTACTAGACAAGCAAAAACAGCAAGCAAAAGCGCTGGCACGGGACACTTATTTGTTTATACGTCATTTTGATCTTAGATATAGCGATGTTGACCACGTCAAATCATCTCTGGGAAAAGCTATCTGGATCACATTATCATCTTTTTTGTCGAAGCGGCTGGGCAGTCGGACAACAAAGTAATACCAACACACACACACAAATCATAAAGCAACAAGAATTATAGACGCATTTTGGCACTTTTACATTGTACTTCTATTTGTAGTCCTTCTACTAACCACCCAGTAGCCTATAGCTAGCCAGCTTGGTATCATTGGTCATCTGCCACCGGCAAACAACATTTATTTCAACTAACTGTGCTCAGCAGCTACCGTACGGTCCGTAGCTGTCTTCATAGAACTGGCATTGAGTGCTACTAACCAACCCAGTAGCTTGTATCATTGGTCATCAGCCACCAGCAAGCAACAGTTCAACTGTGCTCAGCAGCTAACGGTATCCGTAGCTGTTTGAATAGAGCTGGCATTGAGTGGGTAGTGCGAAACGAAGAGTGTCTAACCAGGCAATTGGCACGTTCATGGAGTTCGGCTGGTTGTCGGAGCAGGACCAGCGTTAGAATTGATCCGAGCAATGCGAGTAAGTGACCGGAACCTTCGGATGTCCGATGATGGATAGCTCCCACGAAAAATCACTTCCATCTTCCGTGAGATTCGTATGATAGTAAAATGTTGTTCCAACCCACCGTAGCTAGCAAGACCAACTTGGAAGAGCCCTGGAAGCTCTTCTGAAACTCCTGCAACGGCAGGAAGATTCTTATCGTGCCTGTGCTCTACAACTGAACGTTTTAGATAGATAGCTAGTAGGCTCCGACGCAATTACTCTTGGCAACTGCATAGATCGGTCTGCTGACATTCGAGAAAGACCAACACGGAGAGCTGTGGAAGCCCTGACGAGAAACCATCAGGCACAAGTCAGGAAGACTCTTTCCTGCCTGGGCTCTACCTACAACTAACTGTACTACCTAGCTAGCTAGTAACAATCTCCATCACGCCCCGGGCTTCGTGCCCAGGCAGTACCAATACTCGTATTGGATGTTCTACCAACCAGGGCTCAGGAAGCTTTGTGCAATCGCTGTTTATCCAAAGATTTGCTTGGACTTGCCAGTGCATGAGTCTATTGTCGTTTATCCTTACGTTCAAGCCTCCAACACTCTTACAATGGTCTGTTTGGTGCTCAAGCTAAAGGCGAGATATTCGTACTTCCAACCGAATCGCTTGCAACACTCTCTCCAAGCTCGGAACTCATCTTGTCGCCAAGATGGATGACAAATGTATTCATCAAAGATCAGTATAGTACCGGGGACAATGCGTCTCGACATGCCTTCCAAGATATCCAGTGTCGAGCTGTACAAATCGCAGTCAATGTTTGCGTAGGCCAGTACTGCATCGGGATCCACATAATCGCTTTGCAAAAAGGGCACAATGGTGTCACTGAAGAGACCCTGATGAAAGAACACGTTTCCTTCGATTTTGGGAATAACGCCACCTGTAGAGTAGGCTCCTTTGGGTTCATTTCCCCAAGCCTGAGGCAATCCAGTGAATGTATCAAAGCCATGAATGGTGACATCTAGTGGCAATAGTTCTTGTGTCATGCGGATGCTTCGACCAGATCCAACGCCAAACTCACAGACTAGACCTCCCTCTTTGATAAGTGGCATTGCAGCCTGTAGCGCAATCTTGAGCATATCGTAGGTTCCTCTTTGGACATTGAGTTCTTCGTCTGGAATCTGTCAAGTGATGGTCCATGCATCATATTGAGGAAACAACGAATTTGAAAAGGTTGCTCCACTTGCTGGCCCACTTCTGGTGTGACTTACCTTTCTTGTATGCCAACGAACATAGCTGTTTCGTTTCAAATGAGGTAGAGTGTATTCTTTTGGTGAGATACAGATGCACACCAACAATCCAATTGAGCTTCTAGCTATTAATAGAAGACTTACCCCCAACTATCGAGCTTGCAAGAGATACTAAATAATACAGAAGTAGTAGAAACATAGAAAGAAAAAGAGGATTGAGAATTGTTGTTGAATCCAATGTTGCAGGTTTGACTAGTGCAGCCAGTGCTGATACGTACTGTGATTCCGACCGTCTAATCTGTTCAAAGATGGGTTCTGCTTCATCGGTTCTTCCCAAACGATCCAACACCACAGCCATGTTGAACTGAGTTTTCTTCAAAGAAGGATCCAACTGACTAGCTTTTTGATATGCTTCTAGTGCAGGTTCAAGATTCTGTCCTCCCCCCGAACCTTCCAAGGCCACTGCGAATCCCTCATAACTAAAGGGCGAGGGCACGGAATCAATTTGCGAGGCTTCCTTGTAGAGTCTGACGGCGGCATTGGCATCTCCCAGTGCATCCAGATTGAGGAATCCCAATCGAATACAAAGATAGGCCAACACGGCGGGACAATCTTCTGTAAGCAGAGCCGTGACATGGGCGAAATCTTCTTCGGAATCCAAAAAGCACTGGTAGAGAGTGGCCGCTTCGTGAAGAGCCGCTGATGCCGCACGGGCTTGTCCACTGCGTTCCAATTCAATGCCCAAACGCAATGATCGATCAGCTTCTCCAATTAGAGTATTCCACGCCACATCGCCACAAATGAGCTCGTAAGCCAATGAGCTGGATTCTTCCCTTGTAGTGGCGCTGATGGCAGAGAACAGGGCAGATTTTTTGGATAAGGATTGTTGGGCAGGCTTCAATACAAAAGCTGCAGTGGACGAAACAAGGCCAGCCACAATGGATAATATTCTAATTGCAGATCCGAGGGGGAGATGAATGTGCCTCATCTTATTATTGACAGCCATCAAATCCAAGCAAATAATATATCACAAGAGGCAACAAGAATTGAGGGCGAGGGGGGATGGGGGGATCAGATCGATCTTTGCAATCCTGTGGGAGAGGTCGCAATGGCATGATGGCTCTGTGCGTCACATTTATTCCTAACCTTACGAGTGATGGCTATTTTAGTCCCGCAAAATAACGGCTTTGCTTTTGGCCTGGTCGGCTCTCTCTTTTTTGGTGCTTTTTCAAGTGATTTGACAATGGTGCATTATTTCTTGGGCAGCCGATGGACAGAGCGGTAGTGTCCGCTGCATGTTTGTGCTCTCTTGTGAACTAACATAAGCCGCCCCTAGCTAGCTGTCATCGCTCGCAAAGAGTTCGCTAGTACAGAAACAGAAGGAACCGGTCCAATCTGCTTTGCTGGACAGTATTCCCTGCAATCCTCGACGTTTGGCACTGGTGAATTCCAAGTGATATTAATAGTCGAATTCACACCTCGCAGACAATCCAACACACTCCCCGACCAACCACAACAATCCAACTACCTCTGGGCAACGGGGGACTTGATATACATCCGTGTTGACTGCTGCGTTCTCGTGGGCAATCGACGGTGGATGTACCAATTTTGAATTTCGTCACATCAATCAATCGCAATGCCGCCACCCCGAAATGAAACACCGAGAAGGAAGAATGGCTTCAGCTATCCCTACACAGGAGCCCAAATCTCAACATGGTTTGCTCTGCCCACGCTGATAGTCGAATTCGTGCTGGTGGTGGCTCCTGTACTGCCATTGGAGGCCGCTATTCCGTGCACCATCGTCTTTGGCTTGACCGCTACTCTGGCGGCCTACTATGCTGCCATGGCACAGATGATTGATCCCATGGACGACTATCTGGCGAAGCATCTCAAGAGAAAGGAAAGTGGTGAACCGGAAGAGGACAATGGATTTGCTGGATGTCTGGGAGCACCGGGTGACGCTTGTGAGCCATTGAAGCATTGTTGGATATGTGAAACACAAGTGGCAGAACATGCCATGCATTGCAAATTCTGTAACAAGTGTGTTGGCAAATTTGATCACCATTGCATGTGTAAGTAACAACTACAATCAACAAGAAAGAGACTGTGGGGGTACTGCATTCTGTTTTCGCTCTCACCCAAAGAAATTTTGCATGGCTCTTTTTTCATTTGAAACTTTCACACAAAAATGTGAAATGATGCACCAATCCACTCTACTATATTTGTACAAATTTGCATTCCGAAAACCCACACACCTTTATACGATCAGGGCTCAACACATGTGTGGGAAAAGCCAACTACCATTACTTCCTCATGACCATGATATTCATCACAGCAATGCTAATTGTCCATTCCTCGATACAAGTGGCTCTGATAATCGATATTTTCTTGGGAGGATCCTCTCAAGACAGAGCCGATGAATGGTTTGATACCAATTCCCACAAAGTCCTTGTTGGTATCTACATTGGATTTGTGGTATTTGACGCAGTTGCATTATCATTGCTTCTGCAGCTGTTGCATTTCCACTGGATATTGAGCAAGGAGGGCTTGACAACCTACAGATACATTGTTCGAGAGACACAACGAAAACGAGAAAGGACCAACAAAGAAGAAGCACGGAAAAACCAACGAATGGTTGCCATGGGAAAAGCCAACGATGAAGGCAACACATTGTTGGCACTTCGACTGCGCTACGGAGAAAGTTGCAAATGTTGTGATCCACTACCACCAATGGAGGAAGAAAAGAAGGAGGAAGAGCGGTCGTATACTCCTGTGAATCAACGTTCTTCTAATGGTGATCATGGCGATACCAATGGTAATGGCGAGCATGCAAATGGTGAAGGCGATGGGGTTACCTTTGTCAATGCGTCAGCCACGAAAGATGCATAGCGTTTCTTTTCATATTCTATCTAACGCAGAAGAGTTGTACATTACTATGTATTTGTATTTGTTTTAGGATAGGTTTCCTCCAACGAAACTGATGATTGTTCACCAAGCTGAGTGCCGTTCACAACATTCCATGATTTCTCCAATCAGTCAGTTTGCAGACTCAACTTGCTACAACTGATGTTCAGGTCATTCTTGGATCCTGGTCTTGCGCTTTGAGCAATGAAGTAGCCGCTTATTTGCACAACACTCCTGTGCCACTCTACAATGCTGGCTGGTTGCCCTTATTCGATTGATTCAGTGGATCCCTCGGCTCCAATACCGGTAGCCTCCTCTACTAGCTAGTATCACCAGTCCCCGCTGAATCAAGGCATCATCAAATTCCGCTCCAGGAGCGTTCCTCAATCGTGCATGTCCTTTAAATCCGTCCCTAATTTTAGGGTCGGTTTGGGGAAACTCGACCCTAAATCCGACTGATTTAGGGTCGGTTTCGAAACCCGACCCTAAATCGAAACCCGTCCCTAAATTAGGGACGTTTTTTCAGAAACCGTCCCTATTTTTCAGAAACCGTCCCTATTTTTAGGGTCGGTTTTCAAACCCAACCCTAATATTGGTGCGTTTTCAATGTATTTACCACTCAGTCCCGCTTCCATTTAGGGAGGTTTTTCAAACCCGACCCTAAATCGAAACCCGTCCCTAAATTAGGGACGTTTTTTCAGAAACCGTCCCTATTTTTCAGAAACCGTCCCTATTTTTAGGGACGGTTTTCAAACCCGACCCTAAAGGGAACCCGTCCCTAAATCCGTCCCAAATAATAGGGTCGGTTTTCGTTAAGACATGCACGATTGAGGAACGCTCCAGAGCATTCTTTGTTGTACCGGTACCGGTAACTTCCAGGATCTTTGCTTGGTGGTTTCGGAGGCATCAATAGACTATGTCATCCATGTGATGCGCTCGAGTTGCCATCAATAATAATTACCTCGGCAGTCTATCTGCCTGAGCTACCCCTTTTTTGGTATTTCCTATATCCTATATCCTATTTCGTCTCCGTAGAGACGACGCTCCTTTTGGTTACCCCCTCAGTAGCACTCTGGAATCGATTTGCCGGCGTTTACTGTGTAAAATAGTGTACCCGCACTTCAGAACGGTCATGTGTATCGTTAAGTAACAGGTTCTCTTCGAAAGATTTAGATCAATTCGTGGATAAAAAGAACCCTTGAAGTTACTAAGGTTAAGGATAAATAGTACCGGTACTCGTAGTGAGGTATCTCTGCTGCCGCTTCCAGGCTTCGAGTCCACTATTGAAGGCGCAGCAGTGACTTCTCTCCCTCATTGAATTCCTATGGTAAACAGGAGGTAAATCCAAGCTTGGCCGACAACAATGGTGAGTGCTTTATCCAATCGGCCTCAGTTGAATCGATCGATCGATCGAACGACATGAGGTAAGCCAATTATCAAGAGTGTTAATTGAAGGTACAGCGCTGACTTCTCTCCCTCATTGGATTTCTATGGTATTCAGGAGAGAATTCCAAGCTCGGCCGTCAACAGGTGAGTTGTTTTAATCGGTCGCACCTCTATTATCCAAGCCTCACTCAAGCCGACCGTCTCCGGCGCAGATTCAAAAGCCATCCCCATTGAAATTGTACCATTTTGGGATGGCAGTCAGTTCTCGGCCCATGACGGCCAAGTTGGTGCAATTTGAAAAACAATGGTAAGTCTCCGGTCGTCTGCAGTTGAGCACAGAAAACAAAACTCATATCTATTTGTTGTTTTCTCTGCTGTACTGCTGACGGCCGATGAATTACCATTGTCGCGGTCCAACGAACGATTGATCGCTCCGAGTAACACGAGGAAGAAGAGGCTACCGCTACGGAGGTATGTGTACAGAGGAAACTGTTAACTCCAGCCCTGCCAACAGCATGAACGGATCGTCGTCGACTCATTGAAAGGGAACAGGAGCAAGGCTAGCTACTCGACAACACACAAGAGAGTGGATCCTCCTACCGGATTCATCGCTTCTTGTTATTTCCTACTGTTTTGGTGGTGATTCCTGTGTCGGTACCCATTTTCCTGTATGCGCAAATCAAGTGCTGTTGCCACTAGCTATACGGCAGCTGGCTACAATGGCTGGATTGACAATATTCCATTGTGCGTGTATTCGTCATAAGGATCAAATGCGAGGTAACCGAGCGCAGCGAGCAAAGTCGAACCTGCGTGTGTTCGGTACTGTTGCCACTGTCACCGATCCATGCACTCAACGATAGCTGGCTACGATGGCTGGATTGACAATGTTCGGTTGTGCATGTATTCGTCATAAGGATCCAATGCAAGGTACCGGTAACGGAGTGTAGCCAGTAAAGCGGAACCTGTGTGTTCGGTACTGTTGCCACTGTCACGGATCGATGAACTCTACGGTAGCTAGCTACAATGGCTGGATTGACAATATTTGGTTGTACATGTATTCGTCATAAGGATTCAATGCAAGGTACCAGTAACGGAGTGTAGCCAGTAAAGCGGAACCTGTGTGTTCGGTACTGTTGACACTGTCACCGATTGATGTAACTCTGCGGTAACTGGCTACAATGGCTGAATTGACAATGTTCGGTTGTACATGTATTCGTCATAAGGATCCAATGCGAGGTACTAGTAACGGAGCGTAGCGAGCAAAGCCGAAGCTGAGTGTGTTCGGTACTGTTGCCATGTAACTATACGGTAGCTAGCTACAATGGCTGGATTGACAATATTCGGTTGTACATGATGTATTCGTCATAAGGATCCAATTCGAGGTACCAGGTACCAGTAACGGAGTGTAGCGAGCATAGTCGAAGCTGAGTGTGTTCGGTACTGTTGCCACTGTCGCCGATGAAACTATAGGGTAGCCGGCTATACAATGGCTGGTGCACTACGCTAAAAGCTAGTGTAAAGATCTTTCGAGTGTTTTGAGTTTGAGAGAATGAAAGTTATGAGAGAGATTAGAAAGCTATGAAAACTAATCAACGAGAGAGATCACCTTCAAAGGATCGTAGATCTGGTCTCCCGCGGGAGACTATAAAGTGTGATAGAGTAGGTTGCGGTAGTAATCCTACGTATCTCCATGATCCTAAAACGGAACGCGTAGAAGATTCGTCTAGCATGGATCTAGTAGCGTGGAAGTACTCCACGCTGGCTAAATATCTAGAGCGATGTTTCATCATCAACCTAGTATGACTAGAGCGGTCATTGAGAACCCTGTCTCAAATGACTATTCACGAGAGACTCAGTCATGAGTCGAACTCAAACCCTATCTAGGATCGAGTCGCGAATAAGGCTAAGAGCCGTGTATTGCACTGGATTGACATCCGGTTGTAACTGTTGGTTGATGCAAATGGATACAGGAGACGAGCGCTGAAAAAAACCGAATTTCCTATTTCCTATTTCCTGTTCCGGTGAAGCCAAAATATAGGGATAGAGATAGTCATAAGCCAACAAAACTGGAAATTGATGGTTCTACAAATTTAGGGGTAGGAATAAATCATGATCATTCAAGGATAGTGCACTCAACACAATAAGCCAGCAGAAGCTACAAAAGTTACAGGTACGGGAGTGACAGCTGTAAAATTATGGTTAGCGGGCGGTAACACACGACGAAGTCGGGTGTTGTCGCCAGGGCTAGCTTCAATAAAAAAGAAGGTTATAACGAGGGAATGATACCGGGCGGCAACACACGACGAAGTCGGGTGTTGTCGCCAGGGCTACCTTGAAAGAAGGGTGCAATCTCAAACATGATTCTCTTTCTTCTATTTGTCTTTCTGTCGAGGTATCGCAGTTCCCGCTGACTTAAATTGTGGTGGAGTTTTGGGTGACGGAGTACAGTCGTACGGTACCTGGTACCTTCCCAATCTGTTTTGCTATTATAGCTCTGCTGGCTACAAAGTGTCACAAAGATCTTTTTTTTTGCATCCTGTATCAACAGTCAGTCTCAACCGAAGCAGTGGAGGACACATCCCAACGATCCTGATAAGGTAGCAATTGAAATTGTCATCCAGCACAGTGGCAACCACGTTGTTAGTACCGTACTCAAAGAAATATCCTGGCCATGAACTCATCTGGGACTTATTCAAGACTGCAGTTCCTCGGTTTGCTTGCCGTTCTCTCGATTGTATCTTCTGCTTCTTCCGACACCGGTACCGGTACCGGTCGCAACAACAAACCCGGTTGGTTCCGTAAGCTGAGAATGGGAAACACTGTGACTCGAGCAATGACATACAGCATATCGCAAAATCAAAAGAATGCCGTTGCTGCCCTCTCATTTCAAGGGGAACCATTGAGTTGGTTTCGCTTGGACGATGGAGTCATGGGTGGTCAGAGCGAAACTACCATGGATAAGATTCAGTATCATCACAAAAAGGAAGAAGAAACAACTGATATCTTATTGCAGTTTGTCGGGAACATCAATACGAATGGCGGTGGATTCACATCGATCCGAGCAAAGGTGACTCTTCCAGCCCAGGCCACTGGCCTTAAGATTCGCTACAAGGGAGATGGCAAAACCTACAAGGTATTGCTCTCCAATGCGAATCGAGGAGGCCCCTTTTCGAAGACTCCCAGTTGGCAAGCAGATTTGCCCACCACCAGCAAAGTGTGTGAGGATGGCAGCAATAGTGACGATGATTGGGACGAAGTTGTTATCAAATTCGACACCTTGTTGCCAGCATTTGGGGGAGGACCCAGGTCACAGCCATCCGAAGAGGAAAAGGCAAGCTACAAGTTTGATCCCACAGAAATGAAAGAGATTGGGCTCATGTTGTCGCTGAGACTGAGTGATGGAAGCCCCAATCCCAAGGAAAGCTTTGGTGACGGCGAATTCCCCTTCACTCTTTTGGTTCATTCCATCGATATTGTTGTAGAATAAGATATCATGTCTAGCTAGCTATTCATCTATGTAACTATCAAGGAATTGAACAGCAAGAAACAAGACTGCTGCAGCACATATGCAGTGGCGACCTACAAAAGGGAGCAAAAGTGCGTTGGAGCCTGTGTGTTACGGGATTGGATACCTCAACACTACCAGGTAGCTACCGGTGGAGAGACTATATAGCTAGAGAGAAGCATGGAAGCGTGGAGAAACAAATGATGCCGGTAGAGATGCTACCGGTACATGTACAGCAAATGTGCATCAATGGATCTGGATCCTGCAAGGTTGGCACCAACTGCTCTTTTGTGTCTGTTTGCCTACAAATGTATTGCAAGGTACACCAGTCTGCCAGATGGATGGAATACATGGTTCCTCCTTCCTCCTCTCCTTCCTCCTGCAGCCAAGGATCTTTTGCATTGCTCTCCCCTCGGCGAACTCTACGGTACAATTCCAGGCGCTCGGTAGCTGGAGTGAACGACAATGTGCACGGCACATCTTCGGTGTACCACAATTGCTTGAGCCCCAGCCTTTTCTTTTTTCTGCTTATAATAACTTCCCCTCGATCCTGGTCTAGCTAGCTAGCTACCTGTAGTTTTGGTCTGAATGAAGAGGTTACTATGGGTTTAGGGGTAGAGTGGACTATCGTAGCGGTATGGGTGAGAGTGGATGCCAGGGATGGTGTCTGTCTCCAATGGCTTTTTGGTGGTTGGCTCATTTTTGTGGAGGTGGCGCAAACCAACTTGCGTTGTCGGAACTACCGTTTCTTTCAGGCAAAGAATTCCCAAAGAATTAGGAGTCATCGGCTGGTTCAAATGCTGACTGTGCAAAAAAGTGTAAGGACTCGGATGTGACTTGGCTGTAGTATGTGTGATTTTCCATTGACAATGGCATAAAAGCCATTGTGTGACAGCAGAGGAAGAAGGCGTTCGGCTCGACACTCTTCAACGGTGCAATCACGTCGTGAGGATAGCACTGTACATGTAACTGGCGAAGGCATTGGCTCTCTTTCAGCACCATACCAGCAGTATCAGGAGTGCATACCTACTATTACTCAAAGCCTTCATCATCTATCTAGAGCTAGACTATAGCTTGTTGTTGGTTCTCCTTCATTCATTGAACATCGATTTTCCTGTTCTCCTTTGTGACAGCGAGATCGGCCGTGCCAAAAACGTCAAACAACACGAGTGAAGCTACCGGCACGTAGACATCCCTTCTATGCATTCCGTTGGACAGCTCAACTCCAACTTAGCGAAAGCACGTTATCATCGACCTCATTGCCACCAAGAACCTACTGCTATTGACATTCACCTTGAGGTTCCGGTTGGTGAAAGCACCACCATGAGTGACTCGGGGTATAGCGTCGACAGTCTAGGTGTCAAGAGCAAAATAGCCTCCTTCGAGGCCTTCAATGAGACTGTACGCAACACTGATTCTCCTGAACGACGTAGCAACACTGGTAGTGTTGCGAGCCAAGGTTCCGTCGCCAGCAGTAAAGTCAGCAAGAAGAAGGCACATCGGCCCGTCGACCCGGAACCATCGCGTGAGCACTCCGCTACCGGCGTCGCCAGTCAGAGTCGAAAGAGTCGCCTTCAACGTGCTCTCAATGAAAAACAAAGACCAGAGCCAGGTAGTCTCATGCAAAAGAGACAAAATGCCAAAGGACGGCGCCTGGCATCCATTCAACAGCAGCAGCAGCAACAGACACGACAAGCATCCTCGGCCTCAGCAGACAATGCTTCCTTTGCCGAACCACGCCAAGAACAGCAACAACCTTCCTCACGTCATGGAAACAGTAGATCACAACAGCTCAGTCCAACCAAAGGTTTGACATCGCCTTCTTCACTGAGCCAAACCAGATCACCTAACCGTCGACAGACCCAGCAGCCGCCTCCGGGCAACAAACAAAAGAATAGTAACCTCACTCTCTCCCCCAACATGATGGTGGCCACTGCAGCTGCTAGGCAACACAGGGCTTCAAATTATGCCAGCAACTACAGTCAACAACAACAACAGTTGAGCTTTTCTAGCTCGGGAGAACAGGATGCTTCCGTGGCCACAGGTAGGTCATCAAAAGCATCCAAGACATCCAAGGGGACCATGTCCAGGTTTCACAAACTCAAAATGAAGGGAATGGATCATGCTAAATTGGCTCAGAAACGAAAGCAAGCAGTGCAGAATTCAAACAGGTTCAATAATAATAACAATAGCAACCGGAGTGAACGAACACAACAACAAGATGCCAGTACCCCCAAAGAACCCAATGCTGCATCACCCGTGAGGAATCAACGAAGTCCACGGCACCAACCAGAAGCAATGCCAGCCAACCAACAGAGTCCTAGACAGCATCAGCAGCAAACCATGCCGGCGCAAGCACAGGGATCTCCTGATCAGCCTCTGACAGACGATGATGCTACCTTGACGAGTGTTGCTCGTTTGTTTGAGCAACCGAATGACCCAAGCTCACAGCAACAACAATTCGTTGTGGAGCAAACCCCTACCAATCAAACGCCATCCTCTGTCAGTCAGACGCCGGCTGGGAAACCTCCCCTATTGTGGAGTGCCGGAGGGGAAGAAAAGAGCGATAAAGCTGCCGAGTTTAGCCATGTTTCATCAGCAAACCACAACAACAGTGTAGGGATTTATCCGCGCCCCAGCTCTTCCTCGGAATTTGAACCAGAAGTGTCTCCTCATCACCTACCGATGAATAGTCACAATCCATACGCCATGCCCAAGAGCTCTTCACCCCAACATTCATTGCGACAACACCAACAGCCATACCACCAACATTTTCAACAACAGCAGCCATACCATCATCATCAGTCACCACAGCCGTATGGCGGCAACTACACTCCCAATCGTTCACCATCGCAACAACAGCAGCAGTATCAACAGCAATACTCACCGCCACAGGCTCCGATGATGTCGTCACACGACCCGGGTGGGAATGGAGGATTGATGAGACGTAGCGCTGGTTCCTACGCTAGTCAAAATGGGCACCAGCACTTCTACCAGTCGTCTTCGACGACGAGACTGGATGACGACGACAGGACCTTTGACTACGGTGTCAGGGATGACGACAGCCAAGGCAGCACCACCTTTCAGCAGCAGCTCTTGGAAGCGGAAAGGAAAGCTCGTGAACAGAGTCATATTTCGGAGAACAATACCGTTTCCAACATGAGTCAACAGACAGACTCAGTATCGAGGCGGCACGGAAAAGGGCTTCGTGATACGACTTCTCCGCTGCTCAAGACGGAGGAGCCCATGGATCAGTATCGCCAGTCTCTGGAGTCTCCTGCCATGAAGACAGCTGCTGGAGTGATTGGAGCTGCCACGGTTGGTTGTATTGTCATTGGTCCTGTGGGTATGTTGTTGGGGGCTGCAGCTGTAGGGATTGGCGTGGGGGTGATGCAAATCCCGGAAGAACAACGCTCCAACATGGCAGACAAGGCCACTGAAGCCTTGACGAAGGTGCAGAAACAGGCCCTGGATGCAAGTGAGGTATTGTCAAACAGCTGTGCAACTACGTACAAGGACTCGGGCATAGCCGATCACATCCCTGCTGAGATGACCCAATTCTGTGCTGTCTCCGAAGACCATGTTGACCCAGTCGATGTCATTTCACCGGATATCAAGAGTCAAGATTCCGAAGCTGGGCGCATCGATCAAGTAACCGGCCCCTGTGGAGGTGGTGTCGTGGGTGTAGGTGGGGGCGATCTTCCAAGGTTGAAGAACCACCACGATTCTCGAAAACCCGCCTCACCAAACCAGTCGAGGAGCTTGAGGAACAAGAAAGTGGCGTGCTTGAGACACGGTATGTTTCGTCAGTATTCCAATGGCTAGAAGCAACAGCTCGTTAAGCACTCACTCCCTGCATTGACTTGTCTTTATCTGATCAGTCCGGATTGTACCGGTGTCGGAAATTCATGGGATGGACCCTGTTTTGCAACCGCGAGCATGGCTTGACGTCTTGGCAAGCGCAGATACCTCGGATGACGAAAAATCTGAAGCCATGGAAGAAATTCTGATCCTTGCCAAGGACAAGCAGAGAGCCCGAATCTTCTTGGAGGTAAGCCATGGTAATAGGATTTTGCGCAGGGGGTAGGTCACGCAAGGCAGCTCACTCGAATCAATCTCTGGGTTTGTCTGTTAACGTGCTGTAGGAGGGAATCTTGGACTCGATAATGTGGATTCTGAGTCGGTACTTTGAGAAAGTCAACAGAAAGTCATCGGATGATCATTGGGCACACCCGGAAATTACAGTTCAAGAGAAGAATATGGCAAAGCTAGCTTCGACATGTTGCGTGACGCTTGGGAAAGCACACTGCGCCGCCATTCATACCGAAGGTGATTTGCTTCTGATGAGTCTGTACGAAAGGGGCACCGTGCCCGAAGAACGTCAACTGGCGCAGATGCTCTACGAGGTTCCTCATCACACTCGAGTGACCAAGACGAACGACCCCACTATCGTGGATCCTAGCATGGAAGTGTTTGCCCTCAAACAACTCACTCTACCGCAGGCCGAAGACCTTGCCAAGTCTGTAAAAGAATTGGCGGACGGAAAGGTAATATGAAACAAGGACCTGTGCTAGCACGAAGCAAAGGGCGACTGCTTTTGCACACTGTTGGACCGATATGTGTCGGGGCTGGCTAGGGTGCTTTTAATGCTTGCAGCCACTCCAATGAAAAAAGTTGTTTACCATTATTAATTAAGCTAAGAAAAAACTGTGAATGCATTCCAAGCAAAGACCCCCAACAATTGTCAATCTGCATGCGATGTCCTACAGTGCCATGTACTTGACGTCGCTCAGTGCCTTGCCTTGAACTTTTGCCCACATCTTGCTCGCTACCGGCAGCCCTGTAGGAGGCTTCAACTGCCTTTTGCTGGGAAAAGTGCTGGTAGCAAGGGTGGTGGTCAAAGCGCTATACTCGGGGTCACTCCCTTTTGCGGCCTCTTTCGCCGCCGTACAGGTGGTGTGGATCTCGTAGCTAGCTAGGAGAGTGACTCGACTCAGTCGAAGCACAGTTACTATTAAACTTTGGGGGAATGTACTATTTTATCTTTCACACTGGGCATAAACACTTTGATTGACAGCTTTGAATCAACAAGTGCTTGTTTCTTTTCGTTTACTGATCACACATACATGTGTTGGGTCGATAATATTGCATGCAAACATATAGGGACGCGGCTTGATCCAAGCGTCACTGCTTCGGCCGAGGCGCATCCTTCGTGGAAAGTTGTACCTGGTAGCAGTTTTCACCCTGAACGGAACTACGCATCGCATTCCTCGTTGACCTTCGCGGCGGCGGTGGCGGTTGCATCGGGATTGGCAGAATCATCCTTCATCGCTCCAGAAACAGTCTTACTAGCGCCAGAAGTCCTGGGGCCATGGCCACTGCGGCTGAGGTTCAATGCGTCAACAGCTGCTTCAGGCGCATTGTTGATGTCGTAAGCGGAACCCTTGTGGCGACTGATGTCCATACCGACCTCCTCTTCCAATGGGTCGATGCGGAGCATGCCAAAGAGGTTGAGCATGAAGAAGAAAGCACCCATGATAACACCGGTCCATGCAAAGATGAAGAGAACGGCAAGGAGTTGAATGCCCAACAAGGTGAAGTCTCCCGAGCCTCGTCCCCAGGAGTAGAACCAACCAATGTGCTCGGACGTTCCGAATGCTGCTTGCAACCTATTTGCGTTGGTGAACAGGCCAGTGGCAATGACTCCCCAGGCACCTCCAACCATGTGGACGGGAATCGCATCAACGGCATCATCAATGCGCAACATGATCAGCAGCTTGGAGGCAGCAAGATACAACCATCCAGCCATAACACCAATGGCAACGCCAGCCCATGGCTCAACAGTGGCACATCCGGCAGTGACGGCAACCAATCCAGTAAGACATCCATTCATTGTGTAGCCAAGATCGTATGTTGCAACGCCAGTCTTGCGCCAATCGAAAAAGGTAGAGGTGAACATGGCAGAAACAGCGCCGGCGCAAGCGGACAAAGTCGTGTTGACAGCGACGAGAGCAGCAACTTCGCCGAACTGGTTGGAAGAGATGTACAGAGTTGAACCAGGGTTGAATCCGTACCTGCAAAATGTTGCACAAAGTAATCGCTGTGAGACAACTAGAAAACCTCCTCTGAAATCAAAGGGTATATCGATGGGCTTCTGACTTACCATCCGAACCAGAGGCAGAAGGTTCCAAGGAACTGAAGGGCGACGGAATGAGGAGGGAAGTCATGTGGCTCTTCGAGTGGATTACCGTCGAGATCATGGAAGCGTCCACGCCGAGGGCCCAAGATGATAGCTGCAACGAGAGCACAAACTCCTCCGGTCATGTGAACTGGACCACTTCCAGCTAGGTCGATAGCTCCAGAACCCCAGAGTGGCTCAGCAGCACCGGCAGAGAAAATTCCACGAGGAGACCAGAAGGCATGGGCCACAACAGGGTAGCAAAATCCAACAAGGAAGACCGAGTAAAAGAGGTATGCAAGCTGTGGAAAAACAATCGCAGCCAACGGAGTGAGAATATCGGTTCTTTGTCTTTCAAAGCAAAAATGTCAAACTGTTCTCCTTACCATCTGGGTCCTCTCGGCAATAGTTCCAGCCACAATGGACGAGAGGGCGCAAGCAAAGGCAAACTGGAAGAACCAGTTGTGGAATTCAACCTCGCCATTGGCCAAGAAGAATCCACTGTTACCAATGAATGTCTTGCTGGTGCCATCGTTGTCACCGCCATAAGCAAAGGCGTAACCAACGGCCCAGAATCTGTGGGTGAAACAGAATGCAACAATCGTGAGATGATTATCAAGTGGATTGGATTTGCTGGCTGCATAGGTGGTTAATCATCACTCACGCTAGACCCCCACCACAAGAATCAAGCAAGTTCCAAAGGATCACATTCTTCACGTTCTTGGCACGGATAGAACCGGCACAAAGCATGGCAAAACCGGTCTGCATGAAGTAGACCAAGGCACCAGCAAAAATAAGGTAAAACTGTGGACAGGAAAAGAGATAAGTGTTCCGTGAGTGGGCTCATATAATTCATCCTCTTGGTGCAGCTTCCAAAAATATGCCTATGAATACTTACAGTATCCACTCCAGCCGCAAGGCTGGCAGTTTCAGCCAATTGGCTCTGTTAAAGAAAGAAGACAGGAAACTGGTTCAGCAAAAAGAATGATGCTTGTGTATGCTCCCCTCCTCACAACTCGAGCAGACATACCGTACTATGGTTATCGGAGATACATTGAAGTAGACCACTCAGGTTTTCGTTGGCATCGAACTTGCCGGTGCAGACTTCGTAGATAGATTGCTCTTCCGACATTGTCAGTGTTTATAAAGCTCCAAAACTTTCAAAAGACTCTCAAAATTTTAAACTGTTGTTGCTTCCAACTTTTTTTGTTTTATGAGAGCAACAGCCGGTCCTCAGCTCAACCGAAGCCTCAACTTGGTGCGTACCTGCGAGAGATCGAAATTGCAAGAGAGGGTATCCTGGCAGCCAACCAACTTGATTTGAGAATCCCTGCTCTAGTAGGCAACTACCGGTACCACAACAGCAGGCTTCTCACCTTGGGTTGAATAGCAATCCAATTGGTCTCCGTTGGTATTGTTCTTTGGTTGGATCGACGATCAAAATGTGAGGGTTGAAAGTGGCTTCAGAATGGCCGGTTCGGATTGACATCTGCGCTTGCACTTTCAGACCTCTTCTTAGAGTAAAGCCTTTTCGAAAGGAAGACTGTTGAGTTGTCTTTAACAAATTGAAAGCGCGACCAAGCAAAAAAGGCAAAGCGAATCTGATCTTCCTAAAAGAATTATCATGTATCTTTCCTCATGCTTAATGGCCTTTTGACTCTTTTTTGACATGAAGTCTTGCATTGCCCAATCAAACAACTCAAACCACTACATGTACATGAATCTCAAATCTTGGATGTTCGTTTGTAGTTGCATCCGGAGAACCCTTGGATGCATGTGATGGCATACACGTTCCTACAAGCTATCAGCTAGCAAGCACTCAAGCAAATTTTGGGTTTGATCCAGAGTCCATTAGAGTGTAATGATGGGGATGATGAGGAGGCCCAAAACAAAAGAACGAGGCCATCACCCTGTCGCCTCCTCTTTTCTATCCACAAGGAAGCTTCCGCAATGAGTGGATCCAAGATAGCTCCAAGATCCAAGAGCCATGCACAAGAAGCTTCGTTCGCTCCATTGGCAATCCTGATTGGCTGTGTAGCTCAAGGCATCTGGATCTTTGTCAACGGGCACCAGTCTCGCATTGACTTGCACATGCAGCCAATGCATTTGGCCTAGATCCAATTGGAGATATGTGTATTGGCTTTGAAGGCGCTGTGTTGTGTGTTGACGGAGTAGTCTACTATAGGCTATCCAGGATCCAGGATCCAGGATCCAGGAATAGATTGACCCAACTTGCACAACATGCAACCAAAGCAAAAAGATTTGGCCTAACAGGCTAACAGGAGATCTGTTGACTGGGTAACGGTGCACGGCACAGGTTGCCAGGTTGAGCTTTTGACTTATCGAGATGTCTCCGGGTGTCTACTTTTACGTGTACGGATGGTGATTTGGCTTACTGCTACTCAGTACTACTCCTGCAGTACAGTCGTAGTCGGTAATACAGATATCGATGCTCACATGACAAAAACGCTCACCTCTGAAGGCCAAAGCCGCAGGTGAAATTGCACAGTGAGAGCTGTCTGTGACGAGCTGTGAGCCTGTGAGCCACGAAAGCAACACAGCATGTCCTATCCACAGAACGACACTTGTAGACTATCGAAACTAAGTCAAAAGTCAAAAGGTAGAACGTATTGGCTGCTCGTTCTGGATCTTGGTATTAGAGCTTCGTATGTGACAAAAAATTTGAGTACTGCTACTAGTAGTAAGAGACGAAGGGAAAAGGCCAGAAATGTGGCTAGAGAATTCCACTAGCTAGGGGAATACTAAGGTAGTTTTGTCTGGATACTGTGTAGAGTGCAAGTTACAGCTGTAACTTGCTGCACCTACTAGTATTAGAACAGCGTTCCTCTGTGTATTCTATTGCTCACGGTCGTCGCCGTTCAAGTGGGTGTTTTGAGGAGCGAGAAAACAAAACAATGACGAGACAAATTGGGAAACGGCTTTTCTTGCTGGAGTTCGCTTTTCTCGCGGGAATCCAATTGCGCTGGCGCGCGACTTTGGAATTTGTGTGCGTCTTTTTTAAACAGGAGACAATGGCGCTGTCGGGATCTGCATGGTGCCGTTCGTTTGAATCATAGTGCGCTCCGCTTTTCACTACTTTCACTGATTAGGCTTGTCAGCTGGAGGAAAAATAGGAGCTAAAAGTGTGGCTTCTAGCTAGTATACTACAGTCGCAGTAATTAAGCTCTGCTGTGTTCTCCTGGCTGACAACAACTGCAATCCTGCAACCGCGTACGGTACTATAAAAGAGAATTGTTTTGATTTTGGGAAATGAGCAACGTTCTTTCTCCCGAGGCCGCGGCATGGGCCGCCTCTGTTTTAGTGAAGGAAATGCCTTCCAAGTACACCAACTTTGACAACACAAAGGGGACACTGCAATCGATGGGGCTGAAATTCCTGCGAAAGCAAGATCTGGTTCAGATATGGCAACGGCTCAAATTACATTCTTTTGTCTACGACAGCCGTCAGAATTTCCACATTAATTCAAGTGCCAACAAGGATGCATGGGTCAGTCACTGCGCACAGTTTCTGTCTTTGCCAGGGGCGTCTTCTCTTACGCCTGTTGGAAATGGCAATGGCGCGGTTCCGCCCGCTGCTGCAGCATCAGTCCCCCCTGCTGCAGCATCAATACCCGCGGCCGCCTCCATGCCCATGGGAAATCCCCATGGGATTCCGCCGTTGGGCTATCCGTATCCTGCGGGAATGGCCTGTGCTAGGGCCCCTTGGATGGGCCCTGGGCCGCCTCCTCATTATAATCAACCACCCGCCTTTGGGTTTCCGCCCCCTGGCCATCCGCCCTTTCATCAAAACCGATATCCACCCTATCCAGGCTACCCGCCAGCACCCGCTCCTGCGACAATACCAACGGCTGCAACCCTTCCGGCAGCCGCCACTGGGCCAACACGAAACCCGACAATCCATAGTGCTTCTAGGAAGCGCAAGTCCCCAGCTACTGCAACAGCAACAGCCCCACCTGTATTATTCGGAGGAGCTTCCGATCCTTTCTTGGACTTTATGGCTGGAGCGCTTGCATCTAGTGCCACTGAAAGCGGTTCGGCATCGTCTTCCGAAGGGAGTTCAGTCGGGGCAGTGATAAGAGGCACTGCAGCGTCAGCCGCTACTGCTACCGAGGAACGCATCTGGTCAGAACTAAAAGGAATGGGCTTTGGGGAGTCAGATAAACAGGAATGCTTAGGTGCTATTCGCCGCGTCATGGAGAAAAATCCTAATCCAGACTCTATGGCGATATCTATTGACATTATTACACACAGAGAAGAAGCAGAGGAAGCTCGAAAGATGGATATGGCAAGGGCTGCCTCTGAAGCGGACCGGAGAGAAGAGAGTCAAAAACTGCGAGACCAGCGAAAACAGGACGACGACGTTAAGGTTCTGGCCGCTTCGTTAGAGGAATTGAAAAATCCATCCGGTCCAGAAAACAAAAAACTCATGTTCAAGACATCGTGGCTGCTGCGGTACGAAAAATGCACGCCAATGCTTCAGGAGATTTGCAACAACCAGCAGCACGGGGAAACGAAGAAGAGTCTGATTGAGTTTCTCAAGAAAGAAAAGGATGCTTGCAAGTGGTATGCAGCTAACGAATTGCCCAAGTATTGGCTCAAGTTTGTTGCTGGCACTCGCATGTTGGACAAATACTCGACTGGTGGATCAGCAGCTCTGAAAGGTGAATTGGAGACGCTGACAAACGAAATCAATGAAGCCATGTGCCTGCCGAGTAAGCAGAACAAGGAAAACATACCACTCATTTTCCTTAACGCAAGGGACAAACACCAAACACCAGGTGAAAAGGCAGCCGAAGAAGATGATGACGATGATGATGTCATCCTAGTTTTGGATGAGTCGGAAATCCGTCGCACTTCGCAATCCGCTCAAGATTTGAAACCAGGCGGTGCTGCATTGATTGAAATGTCGTAATCGTCTTTTTGAAGAGCACTCGATATCTATCCGAGAGCACCATGTTCTCTTTGGTTTCGAGAACGACCGAGATCGAATGAGCGAAAGCAGTAGTCGCAGCTATACAGTAGTTTGCAAGATTGCAGTTTTGTGTTGGGCCAGGAATAAAATAATAGGCAAGCTGGATCGATGCACTAACTTATTGCTGTTAGCTCTCTGAACACTATCCGGAGATCAGTACCGGTAGAATGTATTGGGGCTCGAAGAAGGATTTGCGTAGGTTCTTGGGAAATGTGTAATTAATCGGACCTCGTTTCCGCGCAAGTGACCAGGTAGCTAATCCCACGGAAACAAAGCCGATTGCTCCTTCCAGTACGGTGGATGCCCAGCCATGCCTTGGGCTAGCGCAATGTTGTGGGGAAAGCTTATTCATCCTGACAACATCCGTGTCACCTTTCTGTTTCGCGGCAAAGGAGACGTGGTCATTGCGGAGTAGCTGTACTGCCTGCATTTCACCTTTTGATGGTCCTGTTTTTGGATGATCCATTCCGTCATAATCGTCTGACGACAAAGCGAAGCGGTCTGTAGCCATCGTATGCCGTGGAACGGACAAAGGGTTTGCCCTTGTCATACTCGCGATCCTCGTGCCGGTATTCTGATGGCTGTTCGTCGACACTCCAATGCAAAACCTCAAAGGCAAACATGGAAGATTCCAGTAGCAATCGAAGCTCGTCTGCAGCTGGATGCAATACCGAGTTGTGATGCCAACGCAAAGGCCCAATGTTGATCCAGTATCCCCCCGAAGAGAGTGCGTGCTCAATGGTAGAAATGTACTCGTAGACGTTCGTGGCTGTATCAATGAAGAAACAGGTGACAACGCATCCAAAGGAAGCGCTGGGCCGCTGCCAGTGATATACGTCGACAAAGTCTCCCAGTGTATAGGAGAGACTTCCGTTTGGTTTGAAGTTCAATATTGTTGTGTCCGGATACTGGACTCGATCATAGTGACGCTCAGACTCGACCTCGTTCGCCCAGGAGTCGAGAGCAAAGGGATAGAAACTCCCATGTCTCTTGTCCTCTAAGATGGCCCGCGCTGCAGCTGCCATGGACAATGAAACTTCATTTGCTTCCACGGAATAGCCAGACGAGGCCAAGTCATGAGCCAGTCTTCCCAAGCCAGCTCCTGGAACCAAAATGGGCAAAGACGATGACGTTGATGTGCCAGGTTTGTGGTGCTTCTCCACCATTTCACTGCACCAGTCGTAGATGGACGCCCGCACTGGTTGTCCCAGTAGCGTCCAATCTCGGACTATGTGAGCAATGACTTGACCTCCACAATCATAGGCATTTTTCTTGCTGGGATCAGCTGCCGTGGTCCCCGGAAAGGTGTGAGGCAATGTGAAAAGATGAGAAGAGTCTGCTGTGGATTGTTGCGACTCGGGGAATAAGTTTCTTTTTGGTTGATTTCGTTCATCATTGGACGACGATGGCTGGTGTGTTGTTGGCAAGGCCAATCGGACGGGAAACTCTTGCATCAACGAATTGAGTTCCTTTTCATTGTGATGCAAACAAGCCGCGACTCGATCCAGCCGATGTTTCAACCGTTTAGAGAGCAGAAAATTTGCTGTCTTATCAGCGGTATTGGTAGTACCTGTACCAACGACTTGAATGTCTGGCTCGATTCCCATTTCTCGCTCGGAATGGAGTGCCACTTCCAAGGACTGACTGAGTCCTCGAAGGAGCACGCTGGAATCGTGCCGGTACTTTTCCATCATGGCTGAAAGGTCTCTCCAATTGGGACTTTCCATGAACAGGAAAGGAACAGGGATAGATCCAACATCTTGATTTTCGGCTGTAGAAACAGTTTCGTTGGTGTTGGTAGAGTTGGAACCAGAAGCCACAGCACGCTGCAGGATCGATGCCACAACAACAACAAAAAGGGAAATTGCCATCCCACTCAACCTCATGTCGGAAAAACAAAAGTAGCTGTCCTCATCAAGCGGCATCAGGAACTGCATCAACAACTCCATTCATTGTTCGTTCTTAGCTGAGGAGGTAACTCGTCCGAAGGGAATACTGAGCCGTAGATGGTCAATGATCACATTCAATGATCACATTCATGGATCAGCGCGTGAGAATAAGGGGCAGGCCGAAGATACTTTGAACAAAACAGCTTTGCAAGCTTGCAAAACCTTGCCTTGGTCACCCTCGAGCCTCTCCCCCACACAACCTCCAATGACAAACATCATGATATGTTTCGCCATCTGGACCAACACCAGGCCCCTCTGCTGGGCTTCCACCAGGTCTTACGCCTGGACCTACCCCAAGCCCATCTCCGGGCCAACTCCTGGACCAACAACAGGACCCTGGACCTTATCCAGGTCCTACGGGGCCATCACAGATCGCCCAGAACTTACGGTCCCTACACATACCGTACTTGAACACAGTTTTGATCATAGCAGTTTTTACTTGAAGGGTACAGTACTAGCTATTAATAGTAAATTCCTTCATATTCGCTTAGATCCTTCCTGGCGATATCCCAGCTCTTCCCATCCCAAAAGGGTTCGAATCTTTTGCAATCGCTTCAAGTTGGAATTTTGATCACTGACGGGCTGCGTGAGTGGATAGACAAAGATGGATGTGCGGCTGGCGGATCGATACAACACTACATTGTCGTCTGGTCTCAACAAAAATTCCAAATCATCCAATCCACCTTCTCCTGACAAACCGGGTGGTGATTGGGTCGGTACAGTAGCATGCAAATAGTCCTCCGTCAAAGTTTCAATCTTGACGTTGGGATCTACCGCCAAGACGGCATTCACCAAGGAATCCCATGCCTTTTTGGAATTGGATGTTTCCGTCAGATACGTCCATGGAGGAGAAAAACGAGAGGGATTGCGGACCGCAGAGGTAGAAACTCCATTTTCGGTGGCAGATACTCTGGAGAGTCGACCATCGGTATTGGCGGATCGTAAATCACCCCTACAGGTCACAGATGTCCGAGACGGATCCGAAATGGTCTTGCAGCCACGACGCCTGCCGATGTCGGAAAGGACTGCTTTTGTTCTAAAGAAGCTGAATTTCCGTCAGCAGCCAGCGCATCTTGTGGTAAAAGGGTGGATACCATCACCAAAGCTCCACAACCAATTTCTCCCAATAACGATCTTCGACTAGTCCCATCATTACTTTCATTTGGGTAGTGTTTTGGTTGATGATGTTTCCGCAAATTGGAGCGTCCGTTCCATGGAACACTTTGCCATGCTAGCGCCACTGGAAGATGACACAAACCAAGGAGTAGTAGAGACTGTAGCGATCGCATGATTCTATTTGGAGGTGACAGAAAATGATATTTGAGCGAAAAGCAGAGAAAGATGGGCAACAGTTCAATTCCATACAGTACGTCGTCGTTCCTTACTAGTAGCTAGAGCTACATTACTACTAGCTACTATTGTCATTTGTTGTGTTTCTTCTTGTGCATCCAACACGTCATCGACGAAAAGATTTTCCACGGTGGAATCCCACATCTACCGGTACATTCCGCCAAATTCTCTGACTAGACCGTGGACATTCCGTTCGAAAGGATCCAATTCGAAGGCGTCAGATCCGCAGGTGCCTTGGGTATCATTTCGCGGCCACGGTGATTATATTATTCGCAGACAACTTTGTGTGATTGCCTGACTACTATTTTGTACTCACAGGATAGTAACACACTTGTCTTACCGTCGCTGCAATATACAATGTTCTCGGCAAATGAAAATCTGGCATTGCGCCAACACAAGAAGAAGGTTGTGGCGTTTGTGGAAGAATGTATACCCGAAGAGGCACTGGACATGGGAACAATGGTGATGGCCAGGGTTTCTTTGGTCGGTCAAGGCCCAGCATGAATAGTTTGTGCCATCGATTGTTTGTTCATTGTGTCATTGGACAATGATGGAAATGGCTCACCCCATTCGGGAGGGGTACAATCGCGGCCAATATATTCCTGTAGACAAGTTTGCAAATACTCAGCCATTATCTTTCTTCCCTGCTGATCTTCCTCGGCAATAGCTGCGTGATTTGTCCCAGCATGACATCTCTGGCTTGCATGAAGAGCTTTTCCATGGACCGTTTGCCTCCAGGAAATGCTGGGGGCAATGCTTCCAAAACATCTTCTTTGGTCACTTCCACCATGGGCTTTAACACTTTCGTCTTGTAGTTCCCACCACAGGATTCCGACAATCCAGCAATTAACTCTTCACCCAGTTTCGGAAAGACAATGACTATGGCCGTCTCCAATGGCACGCAACCAGGAGCCTTGCAGGAGACCTGCA